TAAAATATATAAAGAATATATCTCTAGTCATTTATTTCAATGAACAATGAAAGAAACAGAATAACATACTTTTAAAAACATTTCTCTGGCAATACTTGCTTTGAAAATAACAGCACTATTAACGGATAAGAATAACATATTTAATTTAATGGTGGCTGATAGACAACACTGGCACATAAAATGTTTCTTTAGATAATTGTTTAGCACATGTCTATAACTAACAGTATCTCATATTTTAATATGAACTGTAATTTTGTTACATAAATTCTGCAATAATTTGCTCCCACAATAAATTTATTACCGCCTCAAACTCCAAACTTTATTATAGTAGATTAATCAACGAGCCAGTTCTTTAATATTCACATACTGCTCATCATTCAAATCTATTATAAAAGCAAGGAAAGCTTATTTGAGCTCGAAGAAAACTTTGTTTGCTAGCTAACCCTTTTTTTAAAATATGGCCAATAGATGGGCTGTCAGAAAATGTTTTTATAAACTGTTGTTTTCATCATACACTTACAATAAGCAAAGATTTAAAATTAATAAGATTTAGTTCCTTACTTTTATCCAGCTCATCAGTTAGCTAAGGGGTTTCAATGTGTGGCCAGTCTGGTCTAACTGATTCATATGTTTCAATTTCATTTTCATTTTTCAAATTTTTAAATAAGATCTTTTCATCACATTCATTTATATATCTTCCTTCATTTTCAATCTTTTCAAAACTGTATTTTTTACAATTCCTTTTACAAGAACAGGTTTTTCAAAAAAATATATATTTTATACTGGTTACCTTATGATCAACATAGAAGAACTACACTTTTAAAACATGTGTCAATATCAGTTATATAAGAATTAGACACAATGGTTTGTCTTAAATCTTCCAACTTCCTTTTCTATTTTGCGATGCTAAATTAATTTTATCATTTCATTGTATACAATAAAACAAGTCAAAAAAGAAAGAGAAAGAAGTCATGTCTTACCTTAGACATCTTTGCATTTTAGGCATAACAAAGAACGAGATATTAGACTAATACATGATTCATTTAATCAGTCCAGGAATGTGTTTCAGAAATAATCATGAGTACAACCAACAACACAGTTCTGCCGTAGATTCAGTATAGACACAACCTCGCACCATGGGCCTTGTTCAACAACAAATTTTACACAAAAGAAGAAAAGGCCTGATAATATGGTACATTTCATCTGCAAACATCTACATTTGATCTTTCAATGCTACTGCATTCAGGCTTTCCTAGGTCATCTGCAACAAAGGTTAAGCTGTTGCAATACTATATAAACTTAATCAGTAAACTTTGAATAGTTTGTTATGATGAAGTAAAACCTGTAGTCCATATTAAAGAATGATAGTAGGGAATATTAACATTGGTGCGTTCTTGGCAAATTTAGCCTATGCAGCTGATTATAACAAGCTAAAATTAAATTCAGCAGTATACACATTGATGCACACCTCAGCACTTTTGAGAAAAATTAGTATATAAATTCTTTGCTTAATTCAGCTGAAGGATTTATAAGAAAATTATTTCAAATCTTATGCTGCTGCTTGATGTGTTTTCAAAGTCGAATCAGAATTTCTTTTTCAGAATGAATTTCTAAATTTCTGTAGCTAATTTGGCACCCCGTCTAGTTGTTCACCTGAGGCAAGCATTTGCCTCACACTTTTCCCGGCTCTGTTGCCACTTCTTGCTTTCAAATCACTGAATTGGTAGAATAAAAATTCATTAAATTTTCACAAAATAATGAAATAAATCAAAACAATTTTTTAATTTAAAATTCGGGCTTTGAGGTGTCTATGCTCGGGTGGAGGACTACATATATTAAAAATCTGGTGGCTTTTAGGGGAGCTGTCATTTTTCCATAATGCAAGGGACACCCATACCTATATCCAAATTCTTCATTATATAATTTTTTAAAATAATACATTGACTTAACATTTGCTAGCAACAATTTGTAAAGTGATTTGGACACGAAAATGATACAAACAAAAAGTGAGTTTCGAGACTAACAGAATCTCTGATGTTAAAAAATAAAAAAGAATTTAGCAGCTTAATGAAATATATATAAAGCAACCACAAAAAGATCAATGCACATGACGATAACTCTAGGTTTCAAATTTCCATTTATACGCCCAATATCACACTAGCTTAAATTACACTGGTGTCTATCTGAATTAAAATTAAGATATAAAACTTGAACCCATTAACAACCAATTTAATAAAATGTTATAAACATATAAAGTAAATTTATTAAATTACATATCACAATCTATTTAAATACAGCAACCTATCCTTTTAAAAATCTATTCCTTAAAAAATATAGTATCATTAATTTTATTTTTCAGCAGTAATACAAAAAATGAACTGAAACAGTTATGTTAAAAAATCCTGCAACACCTCATGCACATATGCATTTTTGACATTTGAAACTTGCATTTTAAAAATAATAAAAAGTGAAAATGAAATAAATAATATGCAGTTTTTGATGTAATTTTGTAAATAATTTAAAAGCTTTCAGAAATTTAAAATACTGATACTTAAAATTGATATTTATATTTGATGGGAAGATGAAAATGAATGCTAAAACTAATATAAAATTTTTTTTTTTCAGACTACAACTATTAAAACCAAAAGAAAAAATTAAAAATACACAAAACCCCTTAAAGCTCTTTACATTATTTATTGAACATTAGAGACACGTCTGAATGCATAAAACTGAATAAAATTTGGCAATAACTACTGAATATAGCAGCTTTTGTTTTTTATTATTCAGATTGGAAGTGGAAAACCTTTGACAAATTTTATTCACAAGCTTTTAAGACTTTCTAGTTAATGTTAAATGATGCTGATATGGAATTATGGCTTCCATTGCTGTACTATTTTTTTTTAGATGTTTTGCAGCAGCCTGCTGTTTCAGTTTCATCCAAAGGTTTTCAAACGGATTAAAATCGAGCACACCACAATAATTTCATGACTGCATGTCTATACTATTAAAATACACATGCATATCAACTTGATGTGTCAAAAAGATTTTCTTTCCTGGTATGGGCACAAAAAATATTATTTACAAATCGGTTGTTGCTTGAAAAGAATGAACTGATCTGATTCAGATTGAAATGTTTGTTTGTAACATCACACAAACAAACATTTCAATCTGAGATTTTCTCATTTCGAGAGAGGTACTCGTCCCTCGGATTTCAAAAATTTGTGGGAAACACTTTCGACCAATTTCATATTAAGACTTTTATCAACTGAGATATTACTCAAAGGCTCTGAAAATGTTAACTTTCACACTCATTTTTCTGAGTGGCAACAGTCTCACACACTGGAGATAAAAATCCGCTTTCGAAAAATGTTGCCACTGCTCACTTTCAAATCATAGAGCTAGTTAATAAAAATAAAAAGTTTTACAAAATATGAATTAGAAATAATATTGCAAACATTAAATGTATTTTTATTACATAAGGTCATATTCTGATGATGAAAAAAGCATGCGACATCATTGTATTTCAAAATTTTTTTTGTTAATGTCAGCATTTTAAATATATAGCTGCTGTTGGCAACTTTTTTGTTTCAGGTTAGGATAACTGGCATAGTATGTTATAACCACATTAATTTTTTTTGTTGATATTAAGAAAAAATTGTTGCATGACATTAATCATGATGTCATATGTATTAACCTGATGTGTCAAGTTTTTGTTTCCTGATTTGCCAACAAAAACATGATTTACGAATTGTTTGTTGCTTAGAAAGAACGAACTGATTTCATTCATACTAAAATGTTTTTATACATGTTTTTTTCAACTGCACATAGAATTTATAAATTTTGCTTTGGCTGCAGCCCGCTCATCTGGCGGGCTTTCCCAATAGTATGTATAAATAATCTGTTTACTACACATGTCAATAGATATACCAGACTAATGAATAGACTGCTGACTTTGAATTTGCTTACATAATGAAATTAACATTTTTCTATTTATAACATAAATATACAAGACAGCAGTCCTTTTGCCTTCAACATTATGCGATCTCATTATTTCATGAAAGCCCAGATCATAAGAACAACAGGATGCTACAAGCTATAATATAAGCTTGAATAATACATTAAGCTTTGAAATGCTTTATTTGTTTGCATCTTTGCTTCTTTGTTGGCATAAAAGAAGCGTTAATCACAATTATTTATCATTTCACGTGATCTTGGAATCCATCATTTATAAAGTATGCCCTCAAAAATCAGCCTCTATTGTTTTTTGTTATTATTATTTATTAATGAAAATCTTATGGACATACAACATTTTATTTTGATATGTAATTTGCCAATCACCTGGTTACAAAACATGAAGACATTTCACTTTCTCAAGCAAAGTGGCAATTAAATAAAAATGCAGTCATTTTACATTACAGTTTCCTTGCCCTGAGTATCAGTCTTTAAGTCATAGCAATATGACCACCATGCCTTCTAACTATCAAGAAAGGAAAATCTATATTTCATGGCAATTTTATTACAGGACACATCTTTATTATGTACACAACAACCTTAGCATATATAAGCAGACTATCTGCAGACAATTTACTTTCAAATTAAAAAAAATTAATAATAAATAAGAAGTATATAGCAACTCAAAGGTATGGCTCTCAGCTTTGCATGTGACATGTGGTAGTTTTACTTACAAAAATCCTGTTATTAGAACAGTTAACAACTGAAGACGGAACTAAGCTACATCACTTTTGCTTCTCAAAGTCACCCTTTTTATCATAGTTGATATGTTAAATGTGTAGTTTTTTAATCACTTAGGAAACTCTCTTTAAAATGAGATACAATTTATAAGAATAATAGATCTTTAAAATGGATTCAAATGCTCAAAATGCATTGAGGAGCAACACAGCTTTGAGCAAGTATGTATTTTGAGCAAAAAACAGCTATGCTCAACAGTAATGTATTAGAGGAAATTTTGTAAAATAAAAAACAATTTATACAAATGGATTCATAACAGTGGTGATTTATTACAAAAAAAGTGCTATGAAATTTACACATTTTATACAATTATTTACTGCACAAAACATTTAGCTGACAGCTGATTGAATTTCAGTGAGATGAAATATTTTCTTTTCACCTGATTCTTCAGAAGTTCTCATGTAACAACACAGGGGTCCTATCTTTTTACCCAATACATCAGTAACACTGCACTGAGGCTAAAAAAGAAAGGAAAAATATTGCTATAAAATGTCATTCTATCATTAAATAATACAGTGGAAAATATTATCAGTATTTATGAATAAATGTAAACTACGTAAGCAGAATTCCTATAAACTGAATTCCTTAAAACCAAGGATTGTGCAGATTAGTGAATTTTGAAGATTTGTAAGTCATATCTTTCTGAATTTTATTTACATTTTCCATTTTTTAAAAAATTTTTATGTTAAATACACTGTTTAACAAAAAAAAAAAAAAAAAAAAAAAAAAAAAAACTCAATAGTGAGTATGATTACTTCAAGTAGCAATACAGACCTGACAGTGATGTCTAGCTGTTTATAATGTTGTCAATGAGCTGCATGGATAGCAAAACCCACTGATTTTGTAAAGCAGTTCTAAGCCCATTTAAGGTTTGGGGAGGGTGTTGGAGGCTCGCAACATATCTCCCAAGAACCATCCCACCCATCCTCAATGGATTTAAGATCGAGAGAGCATGCTTGCCATTCCATTAGGACTACAGCCCCCCCCCAAGAAACTGGTGCACGAGGCAAGCAGTGCAAGAGTGTGCATTACCTGCTTGCAAAATTTAAGTATTATCAACTGTGGCAGCACACAGACATAATTTCAAAAAGTAGGGTCTGGTACATCAGTCTCTGTACCTTTCAGAATTCAGACTTCCACGTGGAAGCATATACAGGTATGTGCATCCATCTAAAGATACTCCTCACCATGCAAGAACACTACTTCCTGCAAAGACACTCCTTTCCCTTATGTTAAATGGAAGATATTGAGTGTTTGCTTCTCTCCATATACAAATGCATTGAGAATAACTCTGTAAAGCAAAGCAGGATTCATCAGTTAACAGAACAGACCTCCACTGATTTTCAGCCCAATTTACATGGACTGTGTGCCCAATTTAAATGCTCCTATTTGTGGGGGGAGTAAATAGAACATCCAATGCTAGTCGCCTAGCATACAGATCTCTTTAAGCACAGAACTAAGCTGAGATGGAGTTGCAGTCCTGTTGCGATGTGCACTAAGTCATAAATGCTGGTCATCTGCAGATGTTGTAACTCTTAGCTTACCTTTGGTAGGTCTTTGAGAGGGTGAACCAGTACTTAGAAATTGGTACTATGACTGGCTTATCATGGATGGTTGACATTTAGGTATCTTGCAATATCAAACAGTCATTGACCTGCTTCTAATCTGCCTATGGCTCTATAATGCAATTCTGCAATATAGAGCACTCATTTTTATACTTTGGTTAACTGGAAATTGTTTAATATACCATCATTCATTGAATAGGAATTTCCTCCTAAATAGGTGGTTTTATGGTGTATTGTATTTAAATGGGATTTGCTTTTATTTGTGACTTTTGATGCAACTTGCTTTTATTTGTAATATCAAAAATTCAAAAATTTTTTAGCTAATATATTGCAATTTCAGTATACTGTTTAACTTTTGGAAACTGGTGCACATTTAAGTTAGGATAAAATATCTAAAAAAGAGTAGACAAATAAATTCTTGACACATGCTACATAATTTCACACTGAATTAATCACTAAATTGAAAACTAATATTAAAAGATAGAATACATAAAATGTACTCAAGAGTAAAAGTTTATCTAAAGCAAAAAAATTTGAAGTAGTAATTCATGATCCATATTTATTATAACAATACAGCACTGCAGTGACCACAGAAAATGTTAAGTAAGTTTGATAATAAAATTAATTTATTTCTTCTAACCAATTATGTTATAAATACAGTGTACTTTTGAAAATATCAGTTACTTCTTTTAAGAAATTTTTATCAATGTTTTTATATATACCAGAAAACGTCATTAAATTTGTTATGCTACATTGTCTAAAAACCATAATTTTATTTATTTATATTTTTATTAAGCACAGATTACAGGTAATCACGTTTAAAATTGTTGGAGTTTATTGGAATGCTAGTACAACAGAAAGCATATTCATTTTCATAATCAAATATAAATATATGAATATTTTTTTTTTAAATACACAATACACATATTCACTGCATTTTCCAGCTAAATATTTGAGATCATATGACCCGCATTTTCTTATGTCTCTTACTCTAATTTTACAAGGTCTGAATAATGCAGTGATTCCATAAACAGGTGCTGGGTCAATTAAAGATTGCAGTGTAAGGGTAGCGAAGGGAAAGGTACAATATAGCAGTATGATGCAAATGTTTAGGATGAGAAAGGTGACTGTGAGGCTGACATAGTCCAAACTGATCATTATTGACTTGCTCAAAGATGCATTACTGGCAGTTATCAGTATATGGAAAACTATAAAATAGCTTAATTATTAAAAATTATTGAGAAATACAAAATTGTTTAAACAAAAAATTATCTTCTCCAGAAAGAAAATAATAATAAATAAAAGAAACAGCACACACATGCACAATGAAGTTCGAGTGAATAAGGGTGACCAGTCCATTCGAGTGATATCTTCTGTTTGCAAGTATTCTGACACCACAAATGCTCAACCTTTAACAAAAACTCTGGGCTAATAGCACCCCTAAACAGTCTAACTCGAAGCTCCAATACCTTGTCTATAATAACAAATTAGCTTGTCCATAAACAAATCTCCGAGCGGTTACAGAACCTTACTTGAAAGATATGCAACTCGGTGTGGCCATTGGTCATGATTCCTCCCCAAACCATTAAACTGCAGTCACAGAAATGGGATATTTCATAGAAAAGGGAAGGCAAGTTGCATAGTCCTTTCCCTCTTCCAATCAAAACACACCTAGAATCACTGTTCAGTCTATATCTGGACTTGTCAGTAAACAATACTCGGGCCCAGACATCTTGGTCCAATGAACATGATGACAACTCCAGTTTAAATGGGCACCTCTGGAAACTAGAGTGAATGGGATACAAACCATTGGTTTTCTCGCATACAGTCGTCCAAACTCGTTAAGCTTTCGTGCAGGAATAGAATGGCTAATTCAAGTTCCTGTGGCAGCCTGAAGATCTAAAATCAAATTACTTGTAGTCACTTCATTGATTCTCTGAGCTGACAATGAAAGAAAACAGTCTTCTGATGTAGTTGTTGCTCCTCGTCAACCTTGAGGCTGCCTATCAACTGATCCAGTACTTAAAAAGTAGCTTCATACTCTTGATATGACACTTTGAGGGATATTCAATCTTGGGTGACCTCCATGTATTTCACCTCTTGTGATTCTACCAATTATTCGCCACTTTGACCTTCACTTAAATGATGCCTAACATCCGTAATTACTAAATACTATCACTCCCAGAAACCATTCACTTTAAATGAGACTACAGACCAGAATTCCAGTATTCTTTTACTGCACACCATATTGTCAATCACTGAGTTTGCATATTTCTTGCACTAATATATGCATGGCAGTGCAATTTTGCATTCAATTGTATTTAATTAACAAAATAATTACAGCATTGGGCACTGGTTGCAACATTAACTTAGAGAGCAGATTTTCTCTCATTATCCTTTAATTTTGATGCCCAGTGTATTTAGAGAGAGATATATGTATATATATCCCATAAATACACACACCAATACATATACACACATGTGTACCGACACACCCATACACATATATATTACTTATATATATGTATGTATATATATATATTAGCCATTAAGGTTTTAGTCTAATTTCTTATGAGGTGAAAATATGTTTTTAAATGTATGCAATTCTTTTGCTTGAAGAGCAATAAAATATAGCAAAACATGTTTTACTTTTACTTCGTTGTACAACATACAGGAAGCATTGTAATCGTGAAAAATTTTGGGTATCATATTTCAACAAAAATACCCATTTTGACCACTCTTGAATCCAATTTAATGATATTTTTGTGTGACATCTCTATGTATGAACAGAAAAATAGACTCTTTTTTACAAAACAGATTGTAAAATGGAATTAAAATGTATTCAGAAGAAATTTTTTTTGCGATGTCTGTAAGTACATATGTATGCATTTAGCACAACTCAAAAACTAGTAGCCTCAGGACATTGAAATTTTGTATATGGGACTGCTATAACATGTAGTTGTGCACCTCCCTTTTTAGTTGCTATAGGCCACACAAAAAGTATACGGACATATATATATAGTATGTAATAGATTCTGTAGTAGAACACAGATGGTTGAATCTGTAATGAACAGTGAGAATTTCAATGGCTTAGAGATGTTGAAACTCCAATCCACAATGAATAAGAAATTTGGCAGTCGAGGTAGATTTAATTCAACTTTTATTTCAACAAACATGTAGCGGCCACAAACAAGTTGGCACATTATTTATGCCTATTCCAAAAGTTTACATTTTTGATGAATTTCCAGTAAGCAGGAAGGAAGCAGCAGACAGCAGTCCAACTAGATCGAAGAGTGGCAAGCAAGTGTGTTATGTTTAGGGTGAAATCTTAATTCAGACTGAGTTAGTTTTGGTTTTAAATGCATTTTGTTTGAACAATTAGTACTGCTGTAAAATTATTATTGGCTGTTTGAGTTTTAATTCCATTTACATCATCAGAATCATGTAAGAGTCATATGACATGGATTAATCTCGGAATGATGTAGTGCAAATAGAGATTATTATTTTTAGAATACAGAGGGGAAATTAATTTACGTTGCTAATTCATAATTTATCTTTTGCTCTTTTACATATTTTTTTTCTATTTTTCTTACACATATATAAGAAAATACTAATTTAAAATCCTAATAAAATACTAACAAAAGTCGTTAATTCGGACACCCATAATCTGGACCTCAAAGCTGAAAACTTTCTGCGCATGCGCCGCGTTGGCACATGCGCACAGGCGTTTTACGCGTGCACGTAAGACCTTGACTACTGCGCATATGCGTGTGCACAAGTGCAGAATACGTTTTCGCCAGCGCATTTAATGTATAACGGACGGTGTAAGCTAAAATTATCTAATTATCTATTTCAGTTAATGTTAATGATTGCGTTGTTCCTTAATCTTCGAATTGGATCCCGCTTATTATTTTTTGCAGACTATAAGAGCAATTTTATAAAAGTAAACTTGAACTTTCGATTATCTCAAATAGAATTTCCGATGCTGGAACTTCCAAAGGATCTACAAAACGAAAGTATGTTTTGATGTCCAACAAACAAAAAGTGGAATTGCTGCAAAAAATGGATAAAGACATGAAGAATGTGACAGAGAGGTTAGTGAAAACGAAAAAATTTCGATTGACAAGTTAGTCGGTATTCTTGGCACAGCAATTAACGGGACTTGAACAGCGGAACTTTGTAACTGAACAAGAAATTATGTTTGTTTATAGAATTAAAGAGAAAGTATTATCACATAAAACGAAGCAACTTAAACAACTTACATTGAAAGAAAAGTTTAATAAAGTAAACAAATAAATATTAATTTTTTTTTTTTTTTTTTTTTGTAAATTTTGATACCCTTTAGATCATAATTTTTCTTTATTTCATACATTACGGTTTCATATTTTTAATTTTAGAATTTCTGCATGCCATCTTACGAGATTTAAATTGATGATCTATAATCCGGAAAAATCGATAATTTCACAGCACTACTGATGACAGGCACAGCACTACTGAGGAATTGCAACAGCACACACAAATAAAGTACTTAAAGAGAAAGATATTCTAAAATTCGATAAGGAAAATAATAATAATTTTAGAGAATTACTATGCTCATTGACTGAATTTATGACACAATCAGAAAAAAGAAGGCCATAATTTTCAGTGAGATAGTGATTCATCTTATGCAGTGCTGATTCAATGAGCATCAACAAAGCACACACAATAATAGTTTGATGTTAGTAATAACTTTTGCAACTTAGTTTAGGTAATTAACGAGAAATGGCCTGCATCTATATTGAAGCAATCAAATATCTTCGTATAATCTGCAGAATATGCACAGACATTTGAATGTTCCAATAGGTTATGCATTTATCATCAACCTTCTTTTTCATTAATGATCTAGGCGCTAGTATTGGAATCTGAAGAAAATATGGGTTATTACATTGAAAAGTCAGCAGCCTATTTGAAAAAAAATGTGGAAAATTATTCTCAAAAGATTGCTCAAATTTTCCCAAAATTCATTTTGATGCCGAAAAAAGTTATTACAGTGATTTATTTGTTTACATTACTTTCTATTGAGCATACATACATATTTAAAAAAGATAAAATGCAATCATTTTGGCAAATTTTCTCAAAAGCTCTTTTTTATTTACTTGATTTATAACCTCCAAAAGTAAGGCAATTATTAATATTTACATTATTTGGTTTCTATATGTATACACACATATATACATGTACAAGAAGTATTCCTAAATGGTTGCCATCTAATTATTGTGATTTGCACAGCAATGGGGACTTTCAAGGTTTCTTTCTGAACTAAATAAAAATATAACTCAAGGCCACAAAATGTTTAGGAGCTTCACTTCACTTAGAATATTTATTTGTTAGCTCTCTAAATGCATTTATGCATTTGAACACAGCTTTAATTTGTTTAATAATATTATGCTGAAACATAAAATGATATATTCTTAATGATAGCACGAAAATAAATAAATCCTTACCTGAAAAATATCCTCACTTATCTGAAGAATGCTTTTGATTGTTGACGGCAAAAGCTAGAGAGAAAAGATGCAAATTTTAAATATTCAATTAGTTAAAGCAGAAGAACTATGCATATGCAAATACAATTTGAGTTACCTGAATCTTTACACCTGAAGATGGCACATTTTGGTCACAAATGATCACTTCCATTTTCACATTTAGGATAGGTTTTGGAACAATACGTGAGCAATCTTCACAATAAATAATGGAACTACAAAGAATTAAAAAAATGCTTAAAAATCACTAAACAAAAAACAAATAATTATTTTTCTGGAGGTAATATTAATATCTAAAATACAAATTTGACAGTACGGACCAGAAGGTTTTTACAACTTCTTGTTTAATTACCATTATATTGCATGTTTTTATTTCAACTATACTACACCAAAAGTTTATAATTAGAAATGGTTTTCATTCCCAAAATATTAAAATTTCTTTAATTAAAATGCAGAAAATTGATAGTATTAAATATTTTCTCAACATTATTTTTATGCTAGCTTCTTAAAATTATTGTCTTGTATTACATTCTAACCTAAAAACTTTTTTGTTTTAATTTTTATTCAACTAGTAGTCTGTTTTTTTATAAATTTTGTAAGATTTTAGAATTTTAATGTTTTATTATAAAAAGTTTTATCACTTTTATGAACAAATCAAAAATAAGATTTGATCATACATTATTAGGAACAAGCATAGAAATTTTAAAACATTTTAATGGTTCAAAAATTTAAATACTTGTTAAAAGAAAGATCTGAAAAATTACATTTATGTTACAATTTACCATTTCTTTTAATGCATATGACACACATAAACAGATCTGCCATATATTCTCATTTTAATACCAATAGGAAAGTTGCAGGACAGATTTATTAATATGTATATAAAATGTTGGCTTAAAAGCTCGAAAAACATTTTAAAATTTTATTAAAACTCAATGTATTGAACCCTTTAAAATGTTCATAAAACACTGATGATGAAGAGCATCTATTCACTAAGAAGAAGAAGAAGTAGAAGAAGAAGAAATGTAAACTGAGGTTAACTATACAGAACCGGAATGAATGCTTCTGAATTGATGAATGCTGACAAATCATGCTCTTCATTAATACAATGATGAATAATAAACACGAACATTTGAACACAATGACAAGTATGATTGATAAGCATTCTTTATTATAGATTACTATGGATTTTTAAAAAAATTTTAAGCCCAACATTTTTAGGCATTAGAAAGTTAAATGGAAATGTTTCATAAGGCTCTTCACTTGTGTATTAGTATTGTAACTCCTGCTTTCCAATTGATGCATAATTTTTACATTTTAAAGAGAGAAAAGAAAAAAATGAATCACACTAATATCTTCTGATGTCATATAAATTGAGAAAAAATTCATTTATAAACATTTCCAAAAGGAATGAGTTTATTTAAAATGTGTGAGGTTCTGCTTGTTTACAGTGAATGAAAAAACTACAATAATTGCTGAAACATAAGTGATTCAAATTATAAATAAGAATTTATTTATTATTTAATAATAATTAATAAATTTTAATTTATTATTATTTGTGCAAATCTATAAGATTGTTCTTCTTTTTGTTTGCTTGTTCATTTATTCCATGAAGTTTCATGTTTAGTACGTCATAATCATACTTATAATTTTGCTTCTTACTTACAATTACAGTCTTCGCAATTTTAAGAATTATGATAATGTCTAATTTCATTTAAGTTTGATCAAATGCGTTCTAGATAACTTGAAACTGAAATAAGCACTAGAAAATGCATTTCTGTTTAGAATTCTGCTATAATTTTTTGGTATCAAATTGTTTAACAAGAAGATGATGGACTGAAGTCTTGTTGTTTAGCTTCCATTAGAAAATGGAAGATGCAAGAAAATCTTTGATCATACAATTGTTTGACTATTCAGATTTAATGATAATCTCTTTAAAGGGAAACCCGCAAGGAAATTCAATCCTTTACCTTATATAAAAATTTCTTTTGAAAAATCACTGCTTTTGAAAATCATTCTTTTGAAAAATCGTTTCCATTCAGGAATGAAAATTAATAAAAAATAGTAAGAATTAAATTAAAAATTTAATTAAACAGATATTTGGAAAATTTAACAAATGCAAAAGAAAGTATTGATCTTCTTGGTCTAGGAAAAAAAAAATAGTCCTCCTTTATTTAATAATTAAAACATTTTTAATCAGTGCATCTAAAAAGCTCAAACTGCACGAACTCATCTTTTATAGCATGACTAATTTTAAAAAATGATAAAAAATACAATCTACTTTATTTCCAACTATGATAGGAATTGGCAGAAATAAAATAGTTTCTATTATTTATCATTTCTGAAATTAATTATCTTATAAAATATGAACTCATGTATTTTAAACTATTTTAGATTTAATCAAAAAAAATACATCTTATAAAATACCTAATTTTATATTTTTTATTTATTTAATTAGAAGATAGCTTTAAACTGTTGCAGATATGGAACGATAGACTTGCAAATGAATGAGCTGAGTTCACCACATAACTTATTCCTGGTATTCTTGTTACATATCTTCATCATACATCATTTATGCATACAATAAGCATCCTTACAATTTTACAAAACTTTAAACAATAGATGATACAGCGAAGGAAGGAAACACATGTAAGCAGGGTCAGAGAGAGTAGAAAATGTATGTGCATATTCAGCAGCTGGGGTATTTATAGAATTGCTCTCTTCATTTAAATTTTGAACAGTGATTGGACAAGAGCCATCACATTGTAGATGATATAACGTGGATTAATTTTCAGATGACACAATTAGTTTTAAGACAGAAAGGGGATGCAGCCAAAATTACAGTTTATTAATTACAATTTATTAATTATTTTTAATTTTAAAAAGAATTGCTTTAGAACAAAGGAGAAATATACTTTTATACAACTCTACACACAAATACTTCATCAAACTTTTCTGCTGAGACATACTTTGCATCCTGTAATAAATTATCTTTGAAGCAGAAACTACACTCCAACCATGACATAGCTTCCTTTTCATCCACATGTGTAATTATGCCTAATAAACAAAAAATAAATAAAATTTTATAACTATTTAAAAAATTATAAAAATATCATAAAATTTTATCCTAAAGGAATGGAAAGACACAAAAATGAAGTTATAAAAAATTAGAATAGAATTATTACTAGACCAGAATAGAACTAGAATAGAATAAGAATTAAAACAATAAACAGATTTCACTTTAATCAATCAAAAAAATCATTTATATCTGGGAAAAATTTCAAATTGAATTCAGCTTTGCTTCTAAGCTACATAATTATTGCTCTTTTATATCCTATATATTTTATATTTTTAGGTCCACATGTTTTTCAAAAATTATATCAGATGGCTGAATCACGACGTATAACTTGTCCAAAAAACCTACTTCACTAGCCATTAAATAATACATTTTCTTCTAGATACTGAATATATTATTATTATTTTTTTTTTATAAATCTTTTATGTTGTCATTAGCTTTAAGTAACCAGTTCAATATGCTGGTTGCAATGACATAACAAACACTGGTATTTTCAGCAAACTCAGTAGCAAGTGAATAAAAGTTTAAATTATGAAATAAAACATAATGTAAATTTCTGTGCATCTGATAGTGATTTAATTTTGGGTTGAGTGAAATCATAAATACTTAAAGCAAAAAGCTGAATATATGCATAGGGAGATAAAGTAAACACTAAAGTATGAAAGTCTAACAGATACATTTTATATGGCTTTTAAAATTCCTATGAAATCCTTAGCAATGTTCATGGCATGTAATATGCATCATGATTGTTATTAGCAATATCACATTTTGAAATGTGAACATTTGCATTTTTGTTTTTATTAGCATATTTTTATCATTTGATTAGGTAAGACAGGTTTCCTAAAACTCTTTCTTCAGCACTCAGGTAATCACTTTATTCCTGGGAATCCTGATCATATTTTAAAATGTATTATGCTCAATATTCTAGAGAAAACATATACAAACTTCCAACTAATAAGTTTGATAGGTTAGGTTATTTAATTACGGCAAAGCCTCAAGGGCTATCTGCCTGAGGGGAGGGAAGCCTTCATGGAGGACTTTCTAAGGGAAACTGGCTTGTATACATGTTACACATGGGGAAAACCCCACAAACACTCATGCAGTCAGCCTGTTTGCGGGATTTGAACCTCGGACCGAACTACCAGTGTTCAGCGACTTTATTCCTCGGCCGCTGGTGGGCCCTGTTTGAAGAAAAGTTTAAATATATATAATATAAACTTTTCTTCAAATTTATCAGTTTTTTCTTTTAAAAATAAATTAATAATAAAAAAGGCATTCACTATTTTAACTAAATATTTTAAATAAGTATTATCATATTTAATAATTTGTCTTTTTTATTCACATGAATTTCTTTTATGTGCATGGTATGCTTTTGTAAACTACACATTTCTTTTTCCAGCACTTTATTTCAAGTTTTTTTGTCACTAGACAGAAATTTAAGTATTTATTTTCACAATATATTTTTCAACTACATGCTACAAACATTCATAAAAATTACTAATTGGATACCTCACAAATTACAAATAATATCAGTTAGACAAATTATCAAAAAAAATAAAGACATAAATTATTAAATATATATACATATATATTATATACACTTAGGCTATTTTTTTCAACCTCCTATGGGCTATAAAGAAAAGATGGTTGAATATAGAAAAAAGATTTTATTACCAAAAGTAATGTACAATACAGGTTATTTCTCTGTATAATTACTTAGGCTATTTTTTTTTTCAACCTCCTATGGGCTATAAAGAAAAGACGGTTGAATACAGAAAAAAGATTTTATTACCAAAAGTAATGTACAATACAGGTTATTTCTCTACATAATTATCTTGATGACTGAGGCATTTGTCATATCTGTGCTTTGCAATACCCTTTTCATAAAATGTTCCCACTAATGATTGGACGTGAGTTGTGATGGTTTCTTTGAGCTTCCCATCATTTTCGAAGCACTGCCCCCCAAGCCACTACTTTAGTTCAGGGAAAAGATGAAAGTCAATCGGCACTAGGTCGAGACTATATGTCGAGTGTTCGAAAATGTCCCAATGAAATTGCTGAAGAAGCCATTGGGTTACACAAGCACTGTAAGGACGGGCATTGTTGTGGATCAAATCAATTCCAGAAGTCAGCATGTCTCTTTGTTTGTTTTGAACAGCTCTTTGTAAGGGTCGCAAAATTTCACAATATGAGTCTGCATTAATTGTTGTTCCAGGCTGAATAAACTCCACAAGCAACACATCTTTTAGGTTCCAAAAAACAGTTGCCATAACCTTACGGTTGAAAATTTTCGTTTGAGTTTTGTGGGTCTTTTTGGAGAATTTGTGTTCATCCATTGTGGTGACTGTCATTTTGTTTTGCACGTTTCATACTGAACACATGTCTCATCACCTGTCACAACGGATTTCAAAAAATCTTCTCCATCAGTATTGTAACGGTCAAGTAACTCCAATGCAGCCATTCGGCGAGTTTTGTGGTCGACAGTCAACATCTGCGAGATCCAGCGAGTGCAAACTTATCTGTACCGCAACTGTTCAGTAACGATAGAGTACAGGGAAGATCTTGAAACTTCCAGAAATTTCATCGATAATTCACTTATGGTGAACCTTTGATTTTCCTTAACCGCTTGGTCGACTCGTTGAACAATGTATACACTTGCATTCTTGACCTCCTTCATCATGCACATCAGTTCTGCCATCTTTAAACTTTCCACACCATTCATGAACAACACCATCACTCATGAAGCTGTCTCCATACACTTGACTCAGTCTTTGATGAATTTTCAATGCACTGTTCCTTTCTGCCTGCAAGAAATGAATAATGGCTCGCAATTCACATTTGGCACAAGAATCAATAGCGACAGCCATGTTTATGTGACTACAACTCAACAGGAAATGGCGTGTTGAACCCGCCAGTGACAGAGCATGTGGAGGGGGAAGTGCACAGTCGCCTACTATGCATACCAACCACCTACCACATGCCTGGCCATCATACTATGCAATCGGAGGTTGAAAAAAAAAAAAAAACCTTGTATTTAAACTGCTCAAATTATGGTGGGGCACCCTTATATAGTAATGTAGCTATGGAATTTTAAAATATCATTAAATTTTCTTTATGATATAAGTGATAATTTGATAATTTACATGCAGTTGAATTACAAAGAACAACTTTTATTAATTACAGTAAAGGTAGAATACTGACAACACTTTCTAAAAATATGTTTAAATAGAGATTGTGTTTACACAATAGTCTGGCAAATACTTCTATAATATGGAAATAGATGAAAGATCTTATACCCCATAGCTCAACAAAGCTTTGCATTTGCCTTTATATTTGATTTCAGGGTTTTGATTTATATCTAGGAGAAATCTTTTTAATGCCAATATATTATCTTTTTAATGCCAATAACGTGAGATATAATCTAGGAGTTTAATAATAACATCTAAAAAGGTCTTTCAGATGATAATAAAACAATAATTTTAAATATATTATAAAACTATAACATACCTTCAACAATTACCAGATCTGATAAATTTGAATGCAAATGTAGAGGAGACATCACATGCAGTAAATTAACACAAGCAAATTCTTTTATTCTTTTTAAGGTAGCTGATGGTAACTTTACACTACCAGCTGTTTCTGCTGACTTTGCCAAAATAACAAATTTGCAATATTTATCAATCTCAAGACAATCTAAAAAAAAAGTCAATTAAGACATCAATACATAACATCTCAAAGCTTCTTAAATAATTAAAAAATATTAAGGCCTGTACAAGGCCAGATTAATCGTTAATATAAGGCTGTGCTTAGGACATCATGGAAATGGGGCACCACAAAATGTCCTTAGGTAGAAAGGGGGCACCAAAATAGTATTTCTTATTGCTGGTTATATCATGGACTGCATGGTGTAGCTAAACCAAAAGCAAGAGAGAGAAGGAATGAAGAAAAAACTGGCAGAAACATACATGAGGACACTGAAATCTTTTGAATGATTTAGAGTCTCTAAAAGTCTTAATCCAGCCCTGGGTCTGTAGATCAGAATATAACTATAAAGGCTGAAAGAAAAATATCTGAAAGGGTTCAGATTTTAACAATAGCAAAAAAAAAAAAAAAAAAAAAAAAAAACTCTTTTAAAGTTCAATATGGTTTATCAGTAGAGATGGTTCAGGTGGAAAAGCAAAATCTTTTATATCAGAAGAATATGCATTTAAACTATCACGAGAGCATTGTATATCTTCTGTATATTTAAAAAAATGAAAAAACATAGAAGTAATTCTAAGAAAATATTTAATGTTTTAAATTAGATCCATCATGAATTAAATGCATTTTCATTTTAAATCAGATTAAAAAGTAAAAAAAAAATAATGTTCTTAAGACCTGCATCTATGATTTTTAATGTGCGTTACTTAAATTATTAAGTAACACACAAGAGAGATTAAATATGAAAGAACTGAATATCTTACGAATATCTTACACTTTTCTGAATGGCAACAGACTTGAATGAGTGAATTACTTTTGGGCTAAAAAAATATGAAGACTGGTATGCACATCATCAACAGAAAGGTAGATATCTTCAATATAGGAAACATAATATCAAAAATCAGTGATAAATTTCAACGTTTTTAGAGCAGTCAATTGGCTGTGAGCTAAAGTTGAAAGATGATGCATTTTATAGTGTGCCATGAATAATGAAAAATACAATAACAATGACATTTTATTTAACTGAAGAAAATTGCTGAAGATTTAAGGAAATGATTAAATCAATAGATTATTTATTATTAGGACAATTTCTAAGGATCTGAACTTTTCTTTTGAAATCACTTAAAGTATTTTGGCCACAGACTTGAACATAGGACAAGTTAAATGTGAAATTTGTTCCACAAACTTTGATAAAAGCAACTCTTTTTCTGAATTTCATTGGAGTTGTAGAATTGCACTACCTCAGAATTCAGCTTTTTTAAGAATTTCATCACTTAATGGTTAGGATTCTGAGAACAAATTTTAAATATTATAAGGGCTTATTAGTGTACTGGTAAATATACATATATATATAACAAACATCCTAAGAAATGGGCAAACAATTTCATCTTCTATTATGACAACATTGGATCAGAAATCTCTTTAGGTACAATAACTTCTGTCAAACACAAATATTAGTGTGTCTTCATCCACCTTATTCACCAAGTTTGGCACCATATGACTTCTGGACATTGTCTCAAAGTCAAAATGACTATGAAAAGTTAACATTTGGAAATGATTCAAGACACCGAGGCAACCATAAATACACCCAAAGACATTCATAAGAAATGACTTCCAGAATTCATTAGAAAGTGTTGAAAATTATAGCGCATGAATATTAAAAGTGAGCAGGAATATTTTGAAGAGGCTAAGGACAATATGTCTTACTGCAATATAATTTTTCTGATTTAAACAAGCATTACTTTTTTATACCTAAAATGTTTTTTATTCATGTGAGCTTACAAATTTATAAATATCATTAAAAGAGAAACAAAAAGAAAGATTGCAAAACTATTATTATTATTATTATTATTTTGTATGAATTAAAGAAATGTATTTCTTAGCTACATCAAATATTTAGTTTTCTATCAAAACAGCCCGAAAAATTAATTAAAATTCTCTGCAGTAAAAAAAGCTTCTGCCTGCTCAATGGAGATCAAACTTACACAAATAAGATATAGAAGCCTTTTGTAACATCATAAGAAAAGCAAATTACATTTAATTAAATTGCAGCATTAAGAAATAAAATATTTATAATGGAATCCATGTTATAGAAACGCAGCTAAAAATTGACACACCATCCAAATTTTATGCATTTAATTTTAATTTACAACTTAAAGTAATGTTTTCATTTTTTTATTTAGCATATGATGGGATACAATACAGAAACAACTGAAAAGTTTCAGTATAAAATCATTACTTAATAAATTTAATAATAAAAAAAAAATATCTGAAAGTTTTCAGATTTTATATTATGCCCAGAGGGAACTTTTTTTTTTTAACGTTTTGTGTGTTACCTATATTTATTAAATATCATGTATTTCCCATTTAAACCATAAAATTCAATTCATTAGCAATATCACAAAATACTTTAAAAAGAGTATATCTTTAGAATTTCCGATACACAGCCTCATGTGCTGGAGATAAAAATATTTATTTCTCCCCACAGTGTTGCTGTTGCTCGCCTTGAAATCGTTGAGTTTGTTAATAAAAAAACAAAAATCTTTAAAGTTTTACAAAGTATGACACAGATAATAAAAGAAATTCCAAATTAGGGCTTCTAGATGCACATATTCGGGTCAAGGATTATGTTATTCAAAATTTGATGGCTCTAAGTGCTGTTGTTTTTTAAACAGAAAACATACATACATTTATGCAGATTCTTCATTATTTAATTTCTTTAAATATAATGCAGTGCTCTAACATTTATTGGCAGAAATTTGAAAAGTGATACCCTGTTTATAGCAATTCGACGCAAAATGCCAAAACGAAATTAATAGTCCTTCGGGGCTAATGCCCGTTGGGTTAAAAAAATTATCACATTTAACTTGTCCTATGTTCTTCACTTTATATACTTCTCTTATTTAACAAACAAGTTTTGTCATACCAAGTTATTAGGGCTGCTGTTCCTTGAAATTGGACACCATTAGAATACCACGCAAGAAATACCAGTCCAGATTATACCACAGATAATGTGCAATTTTACAACTCTTTTAATATAATATACTAATAATTTATAAAGCTTGTTAATAATGTATAACACAGTGTTTCCCAAATTTGGTTTATATTTTAGGACCATGCATTAGGTAGCAGTTTATTATGAAAGCAGTCAATTATTCTAAGAATAGAGTATGGGAGAAAGAAGATATCTTAAAGAAAATGTCATGAAATAATGATGAACAAACAATATCTAGGAATTAACAATTATAAATCAAATCCTAATTATATATAAGATCCTAAACATATATGAATATGTAACAAAAATATAAATTTATAAAATTTTCACAACCTAAAAAATCTGCCTTTGGACTTTCTGCAGAGGTCACTCACTAACTGCATTTTAGCAGCCACTGCTAAGAAGCATACAAACATTTTATTCTATCCAAATAAAATACTTTAATTTATTGCAAACATTTAGTACATATTTTTTTACAGTTTATATCTTTATTAACATTTTCTATATAATGGCTAATTTGCATTTAAGCTATGCACCATAAATAGCATAAACATATTTAGCTTGCTGGAAGAGTTTCTTTCTAGATACAAAAGAGTCCTACTTGTATAGTGGATTTTTGACTAAACTAATTGAGTTTATTTAATACAGGGGTGGTGTCATAAATATTATAATAATTTTAAGATCAATCAAAGAGACTTTTCTCCCCCAACGGAGTATTTTCATTTTACATTTCAGAAGTAATTTTGTTACTGCAATGGGAGTGCAAAAAAAAGTAAGAGTTTGTTAAACTATTATTAATTAATTAATGAAATAAACTCAGAAGAAAAATTAACTTACTAGGAAAAATTACTTAAGTTTACTAGACACTTAAGTTTTGAGAAAATTAAAAACTTTTACAGTAGATCCATAAGCTGAAAAAAGTAAACAAACTAAAAGATTTCAGCAGAGGAAAGCAGAGTGAATAAGTTACAGAAAGTTCATCAGCCATAAGTTGGTTCAATTAATTATGTATTGGATATATAAAAGTAAAAATGTTATGCTTAAAACACCTTCTAAATATTTATTATATCATTTCAAAGAAAGGGACTGTTATTTATAATAGCAACTGAGCAATTGAACAAAATGCAAAATAAAGGAACTTAAGACTCTTATCAAAATACATTATTTTATACATTACATTAATTTAGTTGTATTAAGTTGATATATTATAAATCAGAGTGAAACATACAGAGGAAAAGCCTATCTCAATTACTAAAAACAATTATATATTATTAAATATGAATTGTAGTAAAAAATTAACAAATAATTTTAACTGCAGCAGTTTAAACTAACTGAGTATATATAATAATGAAATACGCTGCTGGCCATTAAAATTGCAACACTAAGAAGGAATGATCCAATGAATGTCAAAAATCACATAAAAGGAAGAAGAGGTTGCGATATGTAAATGATTAGTATTTCAGTGCATTTAGACTACGCAGGAGAAACGACATCTAAAGCACTGCATAAAAAAAAAGCTGTGCAATGGATTTCTCGGAAAGCACTTTGCAAGGTCGGAGTTTGCTGAGAATATCGTTATGCCTTGAAAAAAAAGAAGAAATGTGTACCAGCAAATGTTGGAATTAGATAGAAGCAAGATTGTCGTGTATCAAGAATGTAGATTATCGTTCCATGATATCGCCTGTCGCACTGGTCGACATCCAACCACTGTGTGATATCCATGTGAATATGGAATCTATGGGTTGTTGAGGGTCATATTGAACGGCATGCAGGGTCTCAAAGCCTCTCATGACTAACGCTCGAAAGGGTAGACACATTGTGAAGTCAGCCCTGCAAAACAATACAACCACATCACAGTTGTCAGAAAATGAGCACATTTGCAGCACACCCAGTTTTGGCTCGTACAATGTGTCGAGGTTTGCAGCAGCATGGACTATCAGTATGGCGACCACTACTTTGGCTTCTCTTGACAATGCAGCATAGAGAGAGACGGCAACTCTGGGGTGCCGAATGACAAAGCTGGATACAGGATGGCACAATGTCGTCTTTTCAGTCGAGTCTCGGTTCTGCGTTCAGTAATCTGATGGCCGTATATGTGTCTGGAGGCACCGAGGAGACCACATGTTGCCTGCTTGCATTCGATAGCGGCATAGAGGCCCTGCACCTGGTGTGATTGTTTGGGCAGCCATTGGGTACAGGATATGCACATCTTTAGTTTGGATCGATGGCAATTTGAATTCAGATCGGTACATTTCTAACACCTTACATTCAGTGGCTGTGCTCTATCTTCGAGGCCTACCAAACACCCACTTCCAATAAAAGATAATGCAAGACCACATGTTGCAGGTCTTGCTCTGACCTTCCTCGTTACACAGGGTATTCGATTGCTGCCTTTGCCTGCACAGTCTCCAGATCTGTCACCCACTGAAAACATCTGGTTATGGGCTGCTAAGAAACGGGCCCACCACCCCTCTCCAGCTAATATGGTTGATGAAGTGTGGCATAGATTTGAAGCAGCATGAAATGAGTTGCCCATTTTTGTCATCCAAGCTCAGTTCGACTCCATGCCTAACCGGCTAAGGGCCGCTTTAGCTGCCTGGGATAGTAGCTGTTTCTACTAATTTCACACCTCTGTACATCTCCAAACTGTTTACAAATTTAAACATTTTGTATTCATGCCATACTGTTTATTTGCAATAAATATCTTTTTTGTATTTGCTTTCCTTCATGGAGTTTCAATTTTAATGGCCAGCAGTGTATATACATACCTTCATCAAACACTGCTTCCTTAAGTAAAACAATAGAACCAACAACACTTTCATCAATTTGAAATAATGGTGCAAACTTAAATTTCACATATTTTGAAGACATATTTATAAGAGATTCATCAGTCATGTAATATTCATTCTTAAATTCCAATAAAACTTTACCAATGCATGTAAAACGATCACATTGAGCAACCTGCAAATGAAAAAGGAATATATAATGTTATAAATTTAAAAAACAGAGAGATAAATGCATATGAACCATTTCAAGGAAAAACAATTAATTTAAATAACAAATATTAGTGCTTGTTTGATAATGAAATTCTTTATGATTCAGCAATAGTAATTTCACAAGCTAATTAAATTATGGGTATTTGTAGTATTTTGGAGTACAATTTAAGCTGCAGATCTAATTCTAATTAGCTGTCCTGTTGAAAAAGGAGCCAAATAGCGACAAACAGAAAGTGGGGAAAGAGGGATACCCAAAAGAAAAACATATCTTATCTTTTTTAAGAAACAAAATGTAAGTAAAAAGCATTTTAAAGAATGAAAGTGCAGACAAATTTATTCATGTACCAACTTACTATATTACAGAAACATAACAAAATTAAAGGCTTAAAAAAAAATCTGAAACATACAATTAACTTTTTAAATAAAGTTTTAAATGATTTACATTCAAGATGTTTTTTGTTCTAACTGATTAATTTGAAACATTTCTGAAAAATCAACTGCTTTCCTGCATCACTGAACTTTCAATATAGGAAAGATTATGCTTTTTAACTGATATTTTAATTCTTACAGCACTAACTTCAAGTGCAACTACAGATAAATTCAGAGAAATATTAAAATAATTTATATAGAAATTATAATCGCCCTTAAAATGTTACTGAAAAATACATATGCATATATTGAACAAAATTGTTTATAGAAATTAGAAACTGCTATAATTTGAACAGTTTTATATATGTTTCACTTATATATATATATATATTTCTATAACTCAAAGTAAAATACACTGACACTTATTCAGATCTTGCTTTGTTAGAAGGAAGATAAAGAAGTCCACATTTACTTGCCATTTCAATAGTTATACATAGCCGCCTACCTTCAAACATGAGAAACTGCGAGATTATAGGATTGTGCTACAATATGACTTCAATATGCAAATTGACAAATTTAATTTAAAATAATTTTATAATGCAGAATTTTAGTTATTAAACAGAGTATAACATGATAAAAAATATATTATTTTCACATTTAATTTATTATTCTGGTTATAATTTTTAACTTAAATTAACTTAAGTCGGTTTAATAATGCATAATTTAGGTTACCGAACTTGTTATAATATGATGCAAAATATATTACTATTTAATCAGAGAATACTAAATTTTGTATTCCTTAGCAAATTTCATTTCCTAATTATCTCACAATTTTACACTCAGAAAAGCTTAAGTAGAGAAGAAGAGCTCTTATTTATCAAAGTACTTTTAAATGTGACAAAAATCAAATTAAAGATTAGGAAAGTGGATAAACTTAGCAATGTACCATAAATTAATGTAAAACAAAATTAAATACAAATATTAGCTGGTTAAACATACTTGAATCTTTACCAAAATTTTACAGATGTCCAGTAGATTAAGATAAATCAGATTAAATAAAATTTAATACGAAAAATTATGCTTCAAAACAAAGAGATGGAGAAATGGAATTTACACAATTAAAGTTTCATTAATTCAAAAGCTTCCTTTATGACTATGAAATATTATCCTTAGTCAAGGCTAAAAATTAAAAACTGGGGAATTCTGTGATCTACCAGGAAATTGGAAGATGAGATGGAAAAATTTGAGAATTGACAGCTACGTATTAGCTATTTAAACATAAGATTTCATAAAATTCTATATAAATCTTTATAATAGATCAATTACTAAATACTAAATTTTACTCAGGGAAAAAAATAAATTTGCACAATTTTAAAAATGATAATGCATTTTTTAAAGAAATTTTCATTAAAAAAATATTTTTCCACACTATTTTATTTTCCTTTGAATTCTAGTGATAAAAAATTATTCCTAAACTATGTCTGGAAGCAATGATATGAGTTATTCCTGATCAAAATAAAATAGTTTAATAAATTTAAATATTGCAATTTTATAAAATCAAAAATTGTTTTTTTAAAGATAAATCAGCAAAACATCAGATTCAGTAACATATTGACATTTATAAATAATAACTTTAAAATAATCATTCATTACCTTTTGAAACATACTGAGAGGTTGAATGTCAAAATTACTATACACAGGAAATTTTTCTTGACTTATTTCATCTAAAGTAGTTACACTTGATACAGTGCTGGGCATAAATTGATAGCAAAATTTTCTTACAGGCACAGGAAACTAAATAAAAGAAAAATGTAAATAAATACAATAATTTATTTCAATATATTATGCGCAAGAAGGAAATCATATTTTTAAATATTTTCCCTACTCTATAAAAACATATATATATACATATATTCAGAATACAAATAAGGCCTCTGCCGTTTAAAAAAAATGGCACCACCAGTAAGTTATGGTTATAATTGCCTGATATAAAACATTACACCATAAGGCTGGATATCTGCTAGCAGCATAACCTTGAAATATTAGCAATTTTGCATCAGCATCGTATATTTTTTTCGTGCAAAAATGTCGAGTTGCAAGCCAAATGAGCATCATTTGCGGGGCTTTTGATTTACTTCTTTAATTTGAAGAAATCTGCAGGTGAGGCACATTGATTGCTTGTAGAAGCATATAGTGAGGCTGTCTTAAGTGAGAGAAGATGTCGAAAGTGGTTTCAAAAGTTTAAGAACAGTGATTTTGATGTCTAAGACAAAGAATGGAGCAGAAAGATGAAAGTCTATGAAGACTTTGAATTGAAAGCATTTTTGAAGGTAATCATCATGCTAAATGCATGTAGAACTTGCACTTACGTTAGGAGTGACTCAACAAACAATTTCACATCAATGATTCAAAAGCAAGGAAATTGTGTCCCATCTGAACTGAAGCCAAGAACGTTGAGTGCTGACTTTTTACACATGATGTGCTGCTTCCCAAGTATAAATGAAATGATTTTTTGCATCATATAGTCGCTGGTGATGAAAAATGGATCAACTACAATACTCAAACAAGAAGAAATCCTGGGGACCACCTGGCCAATGCTTTAACATCTACAGCCAGCCAAATATTCATGGGGGGAAAAAAAAAAAAAAAAACCTATTGCATATATGGTGGGATCAACTTGGTATTATGCAATATGAGTAGTTCAAACCAAATATAACTACTATTACTGGGATTTTCTACCAAACATAATTCATGAGACTGAGTCGAGTATGCAAAGAAAAATGTGTCCACTACTACTCCAGACAAGACAACACTCATCTACATTTTGCAGTGCTGGTCAAAACCTACACAAAAACACTTAAATGAGAAGTTCTACTCTTCCTGCTATATTCACCAGATATTGCTTCTTCTTATAATTACCGGATATGACGGCGTATAAAATGCATTTTTTTCTTTGAAAATAGGTCTGAAAACTGGGTGCGTCTTCTATGTTGGTACTCAGTTTTTGATTACATTCATTTCTGGAAATCTCCTCTGTTTGGAGTTAGGTGATTTTTTTTTCCTTATTTCCTTGTGAAGTGTGAGAATATTACAGTTACATAAAGTTCAGTGAATGCACATGCCTGTCATCGACGATCACAGCTGGGTTCATTTAAACTTTCCAATTTTTGTAAATGACTTTTGACTTTTAAGTGTGCGAAATTTCTACTGTTAAATTTTTTAAAAATTCATTGGCTAGTTATGGCTCAAAAAACAATGTCAGCATTGCTATAACATAACATACAAACAACATATAATTGCATATGCTAAAGAACATGGAAACAGGACTGAAGAGAGGCATTTCGGGGCACCCCCAACTGAGATAATGATAAGAACTTGGCGGAATCAGCAAGGAATCTGAAAAAAGCAACTCACAATAAACATTGTAGAGCCATTAGGTTATTTCAAAGCAGGACACATAAAAAATGTGATGCTTCCTTGGGACTCTGAATTCTCGAACACGCGCAGAGCATACTGACTCTTACACCACGAAGGCATGCTAAGAAGGCGGGAGAAATACTTTACGTACTCCTCCTTTTAAAGGCCGACTGGGGATTAGGGGAACCAGTTGCCAAATCCTGGTGGTGGAGAATCATCCTCCTCCACCTTTTTTAGTTCAGGCACTACTGTAGAGCCATTAGGTTACTTCAAAGTAGGAGACATGAAAAATGTGCAATGCCCTCGCTGGAACTCGAACCTCAGAGCTCTTGAATACGGGCCGAGCATGCTCTCCATTACACCACAAAGGCATGCTAAGAAGGCCTCCTTATAACATAATCTACAAAGGGGAACTAAACAATGCCCTGAACTTGAGTCAGAACTGAATACTTGGAGTTTAGACCACAGAGAAGCAGGACTTTCAGTCTCAACAAAAAATTATTATTCATCAAGCAAAAGTGATTGCAAAAGGGGGTGCGTCTTATAGACTGGCAAATAGGGTACTTGTTTCAACTGATGATACATGGCCTGTCTACACAGCGCTTCATATATATATAGCGCCATAATTACGGGAAAAAATGGAAATAAATAAATCATTACATATTCACTTAAACAAAATATAAAAGTACAGTTAAAACTTAGTCAAAGAAAAATATTTTTTGTATTGCTATGTTTCAATCAAACTAAAAATTGCACATGAAAAACATTCTGTCATGTCCATCTTTTTCAGCATGATGCAACTGGATATCAATTTACATAATAAATTAAAGCAGGAATATTTAATAATCAGTAAAATAAAAGATAAGAAAAGGCAGAGTATTTTTATAAAGTAAACAATATCAACTTACATGTTCATACTCTGCTTGCTTCTGAGAGAGTGCATGGATAACTTGGAATAACTGTAAATACCTAAAAAAAGGAAAATAAAGAATAAAATTTAAAAAAATAACAATTTAGTAAACTACTAGCTTTTATTCTGCATAATTTTCAGACATGCTTGTACTCTGTAAGTTTCTTGATGTTTATTAATAATCTTTATAATGTCTAAGAAAACTTAAATGTGCACTTCCTGTGACATTTGAACTGCCATTTGTTGAATGTGAAGAACATTAAACTGGAACATGTTATTAGTATTTTGGTATGATGACTGATATATGTATTTTCTCATGAAAGTTGGAGATGTAAACAGTAATGAACATAGCTGGCTTTAGTGACATATGACTAGGTACATTTAATTGAAGAGTGGCATCCCTTCTGTATGGCATCACTTTCTCTACAGAAAAATGTTCTATGCTCATTTCTTCAGAAAATTATGTTACAGAAACTGAATTATAAGAACACTAGGCTATTATATATGATAGGTATAGCAGCTGTTTACAGAATACCATAAACTGTATCCTGACAATATGTTCTCAGAAATAAGATGTAGTTATCAAATGCAATCCTCGAATCCAAATAATATTCCATGCAATGGAGGAAAATTTATAGCCATTACTTTATTAATTTATTGCCATTATTTTAATACTTTATTACTTAAAATGGATGTAGAAAGCAGCTGCTAACCTAGAAAAAGAATTCTAGCAGTGATACACCCAGCAATGATAACAAGGCTGGATAAACTGTGCAGCTTTGGAAAATGAATATTTTAAAGAAAACTGAATGCCAAACCTATATGTGGTTAGTTTCTTCTTAACAGTGCTAAATATAATATCTGTCGATCCCACTTTACATTTATTCAAAACTAGAATTTCCTTACATTTGTTGATAAAAAACATAGATATTCACCAATGACCTAAAATAGCATTTAAATTTTACACAGTAAAATAAATTTTGAAAGAATTACTATACAATAAAGGAAATAATAGTAATAAAAAACACATTATTTTTCCCCTGAATTATATGCTGAATTAGTTTCATATTAGAAATATTCTATTTTTCATCCCCTTCCCTCAAGAAACATTATTATCTCTTACATGTAACATTACAGCTGCCTCCTTCTCAGGGCTGGAAATAGTTGAACTACACAATGAATGCATGATCTTGTGAATCTTAGAAATCATGATTCAATGCAGATTTGATAGATGAGAATTAGAGACATGTTTTATCATCATTTGGCCATAGGTATATTGTCCAGAAGATGGGTTCAGCACTTTCTACCTTTTAAGTAGAAATGCTCTTCTTTTCATAACAGTAATAAGGTTTCACTGGATTTGTTGTGAACCATTATCAAAAAGTGCATAAAAAGAGTGAACAACCACAGCAAAGCAAAAACAAGATTACACGTCCTTAAAAAAGGTAGTAATCACCTAAATAAAAGAGCAAACAAATCTCAGTCCATTTCAATGTTGTTATCACTCAAATCATCAATACAGTATACCTAACATTTCATTAAATCTGATAGTTATCAGCAAAGTATCACTGTTCTCACCATGGCATCAGATAATAGCCTTCCATATACTCGGATATCAACCTTAGACCATGCAATGAATGAAACTACATAGTCTGGTTATCTAATTCCCATTTTCCAACTAATTCAGGCAGATGTATGTACCTTTGTCTAAAGGAAACTACATTATCCTGCCAGCAGAAAGCAGTGCAGATAGTAGTGGCTCCTAAACTTTAGGATGTATTTTCTTAAAATCACTAGGAAACTATAAAGTTTTCTTTAACAAGAAAGGCATACAGAGATTTTAGTGCACATCATTTGAACACCAATAAGAAAGGCCTATTCTTCCGCCAATATAGTTTATGCCAGCAAAATAATAAAAATCACCATCATATACAGATACATATAGGTGATAAAATTGCATTTTACCATTCGTCTAGCTACTAAAGGTTCTCTCGTATTCAGGATTTAAATCTGGAGGACAAGAAATACTATGCAAATCTTATGTCACTATTGGATACCATTTTACAGTGATATCTAAGGAGGGGAACTGCATTACGGTTTGTTGTGAAATCACTGGCTTGAAATAACCTCCCAAATTCACCTCATTAATATTCTAATGTTGTCATTGATCATTTTTATTAATGTACACATACGAACGAGCTAGACACTAGTACTTAAGTAAGCCAAATGTTTTGCCACTTTAGTTTACACATTTAAAACAATAATGAAGGAACACTTGGTGCCAATGTTGTGTGAAACTACTGTAACTTGTGCATGTGCATTAATTAATTATTCTTCTAAAAGAACAGCACACACTAATCAACCATACATATTCGAATCTAAAAATAACATCAATCATTCCAACCCTGATGCATAAAAAAAAAAAAAAAATTATATCTCATCCTGCCAGAGGTATTCCTTGGAAATAGGAAACTGCAGCAGTCTGGCCTATTTCTACATATACCATGCAACATTTAACTGAACTTCAGGCTATATTCTTCTACCCATTTTGTAATTCAATAAACTGACTGAATTGATATTTTTATCTGATAAGCTTTATTTGGCATAGTTCAAATGCATTATTATTACCTTAGAAGCAGTAGATAACTAGTAGAATGGGAAGCTATTAGTCAACATCATCATGTCTACAAGAATCTCACTTTAACAATTACACTGTCTTTTAATATTACAACGTACCTTGCCACAATTACTGAGAAATATTTCCATGAAGTCTTGGTCTTTAAATTCTTTTGATTCTGAACATAAAACAAATAAAAATAAGTGCAAATAAAAAATATTACAATGCATAGTGAAGGCTGTTGATGGCACTCCATGAACCAAACAAGCTATTGCAGCAGAAAAATTTGAAGTCTTGTAAAAAGTTCCTCATTATCTCTAAGCCACACAAAGCAAACCAATACATTATTAGACACTCCTAATATAAAGCTAATTAATCTATGTGCTTTGCATGTTCAAGAATTTTATAACTGTTGTTTATGTACTTTATTATTATTATTATTATTATTTTACATTTAAAAAAATGAAGTGAACCAAGTGTAATGAGCTGAAGCACTTCCAATTGTCTCACTTGAAGCCAATTTGTACAGTAATTTTGCTAAGACAGTACAACAGAACAATGATTAAGAGTACCAGATATTTTTTCATCCCTGTTTGATAGCTCCAAATTCTCCATACTGGATCAACATCTGTACAAAAACTAAAGTAAATGATGTAAAGATTTATTCTAGTCCAAACACCTTGCACCTTACACACCATTTTTGTCATCTAGTACATTTCACATGTTTTTGTTTGCATTGATAACTATGTGGGTGATCTCTTTGATTGCCTTATGATGATATTTTCAAATTAATCTCAAAGTATGACAAAGCATTTATTATGAACATGAACAAAAGACAAGTTACTGCCATCAGTGGCATGTGGTAAGAATGTTCAAAATACAGGGTGATGCAAAAGTACTTTCACAATTTTTAATTTCAATAATTCTTTCTGGAAATTTCTGTTAGTTCTTTCCGGGAGTTTTGATATGGTGTGATACATATCTGAAGAAAGGATAAAGATCATATTTTTTTTTTTACTTGGAAAATGGAAGAAGCATTATTCCTACTCAAAGAAACCTTTGATGATATTTTAATGTCAGATATGCTCCTTCTAACCACATGATATTGTACCTTGTAGCCAAATTTGAACAGAGAGGATCAGTAGGAGATGCAAAGACAACAGAAATACTTAGAAGATGGAAGATGTACTAAAAAGAGCTCATAATTTGTAATCGTAAAAGGAGATATCATTTGTTAGGCACCATTTTTCATAAATAAAAACTTCAAGAAACACACTTTGTATTATGAGCTTCAAAATATAAATTTAAACTTTTCATATACTTTTTTTAATTTAAAATTGTGAAGGTACTTATGCACTATCCTGTAGCAGTATCCCAAATCCCAATCTCGGAACATCCCAAACTAGTTCAAAGACTATTCACACATCTGGGCATACCAAATTTACCCTATGACACTTGCAGTCTTGTGCTTTGCACTGAGAGACAGTATTGTGGTAATCCATTAAATCTATGGCAACCCTGTGCAAGAAATTACTAGCTCAATTGATATTGTGTGGTGAACAGATAGCGCATATTAAGTGACAAAAGTCATGTAAGTAGTCTTGTGGATTTATGAATGCCATCCTAAAATGAGACTATTTGAATTATAATGCCTCTTGTATCCTGCATATTATCATAAATTATGTATTTGTGTTAGCAGAATATACTGTTGCATTTAATTTCTGTATGCAGTTATCATTTCATACTTGATTACATAAAGCTGATAACAATCAAGTTTTGAAGTTTTTTATTTTACTGATAAAACATTGTTATCACATACACAGTGAAGACCTATACATGATTAATAAAATACAGAAATTTAATAAAAAGTAGCCATATCCTTACTTTTTACAATGATATCTATGAGTCACAAGCAGATCATGAAATATGTAGCATTTGCCTTCTCCATTTTCAATTATTTCAGACCATAAGGTTTGTAAGTATAAAAAATTTGATTTTATACATAATTCACAGAATATTCCATCTTGAGTCTGCAACAGCATTGAGAAACTGAAACACAAGAGTATGAACTATTATAGATTTATGTATACATAATAATGCGATGCATATACATATATGTAAGTGTGTGTATCTACAGAGTGAGTTTATAAGGTATTTCTTCTGCCTTCCTAGCGTGGCTTCATGGTGTAGTGGTTTTGCACACTGGGCCCGTATTCCAGAGGTCGATGGTTCGATACCCGGCGAAGGCAATTGCTCATTTTTCATCTTTCCTGCTTCCCAAAATGCCTAATGTCTCTACAGTGGTGCCCAACTAAAAGGGTGGTGGGTGATGATTTCTCCCCACCCAGAATTTCACGATTGGGTCCCCTAAAAACCCCAGTCATACTTTAAAAAGGGGGGAGTCTATATGGTATTTCTCACACTTTCCTAGCATGCCTTCATGGTATAGTGGTTCTGCATGCTGGGCCAGTATTCCAGAGGTCCGTGGTTCGATTCCCGGCAAAGGCGATTGCTCATTTTTCATCTTTCCTGCTCCCCAAAATACCTAATGTCTCTACAAGTTTAAATTGTTTTTACAAAAATAAGAAGGGTGATAGTATCCATAATAAAAATGTACAATAATTTCTATGGAAGATAGGTTCACTTTCTACTCTGAGAGGCAGAATATCCTGCATGAGGAACTAGACCTGTGGTTTAGCCTCTTTGCTCACCAATATCAAGCATTGGACTTTTTTCCTCTCGCGGCACATGAAATTTTTAGTGTACGAGACACCATTCTGAGCTTCTGCTTTGAGTTTTTGCTCTGATAAATAAATCACACCCTGCAACTTTTGGTATGGTTTATTTGCTTTCACAATACTGTTGTAAGTTCATCTTGGAATTCTAATCTTACTCTTTTCTGCTTCTCAGAGTAGATATGAGGTTCCCTCATTCAGATTTATTTAAAGAATTACACAAATGTAAAAATAAAAGCAATTATAATGTATAAATATGAAAATAAAATATGTAACAGTTAAAATAAAGACAACACGGTATATTCACGAGCAGTTTATAAACTCTTCCTTTAAAGAACACAACCCTAGTGAACTTATTCAAAATAACGCAATCAAAGCATTAAAATACAAAAGTAAAATAAAATAAAGAAAAAGAAAAAGAGAGAAAAGCAATATGAAAATGAAAAACAAACCTCTCTTTCCAAAAAAGGGAGGGCACTATGAAGCTACACATATGCATAATACCACTAACAGCATTTCTGAATTCACTCACAGAAATATTTTCAGAAATTTTTAACATGAAAAAAGGCCAAAATTAAACAAAAACAGAAAACTAATAAGTGGAATCGACATATTTGGGATTTATTTACTTTACATATTTATTACAAAATCTGTCTTTTGCAATGAATGATGTAGAGTAACTAAATTAAATATATTTACAGCAGTGTTTCTCAAATTTTTTTGGTTTACTGTAACTTTCAGAAAAAGCTGAATGTTCAGTGCCCTTTTGGGAATCCAAATCTATCTTTTTTTATAAGTGTAAGAAAATAAAACAACAATGATGAGTTATCCATATATTAATGAAATTAACAGTAAATGCACTATCTTGTTTAACTAATTAATATATAAAGCACAGGAACACAAACTAAGGCATAAATAAAACAAGTTTAATGAAAAGGATGAGACAGATGAGCCTTACAAATTTTTCAGTATTCGACATAATTTTTTAGCACTAGAAGTTATATTAGTCTCAAAACTCACTTTCTGTCTGCAACACTTTTGTGTCTCAATCATTTTTCAAATTATTGTCACCAATGCTATCCGCATACACTATTTTTAAAAAAAATTAAATAACAAAAAATCTGTATGTATGTTCCATGCATTGTGGAAAAGTGATGGCACCTACAGCCAGCTAAGTTTAAATAGACATAGTCCTCCATCCAAACAAGTGCTACTGGAATCTCAAATTTTGAATTTTGACTTTTTTTATCTATTTCATATTTTTTACCAATTTATTCAATTTTTGATTAACAAACTCGGTGATTTGAAAGTGGGAAATGACAACACTTCAAAATAAAATACTCTTTTGTGCATCAGACTACTGCCATATCCATCCTTCAGTTTTAATCAACAAATTCAGCTATATGAAAGCAATGTGCTGCCACTGTTGGGAATAAAATACATATTTTTATTACCACAGTATGGTGTCATTCATTAAAGTTTAAGATATTTAACTTTCTGATTTAATCTGAAAGTTGACTGCATAACAAACTAAGTGATTTAAAAGAAATAAACACAGTTCTTAGGAATACTTTTTGATAAAATTGATTTAAATAAAAATGCATTAAAATCATGAGATTTCTAATCATAAATATTAAATATTTTTATGATATTACACAAGCAGACTCATTATATACTTTTTTCCTTTCATGTTAATTATTTTAGGCAATTGGCTGTATGAACAGCTACTTTTTAAAGAAATGATACAGCTAATATAAACAATGTATGGCATTCCCTAACACTCTATCGGGGAATTCTAAAGATATGCTGTTTTTAAATATTTTGTGATTATGCTAAAAAAAAAAAAAAAAAAAAAAAAAAAAAACTTTGTTAGCAGCCATGAGTTCAAGAGCAGATTGGTAACCTGTGCTGCTCAGTGAGGGTATAAAACCCTTAACAAACCCTTTGGACCAATGTTAAAACTGAAATCCTTTCAGATTTTCTTTCTTTTCTTAACAATATTCTCATACCTCCGCAATTAGTAAGTACAAAATAAAGAACAATTGTACAAATAGAATAAAAAATTTTTATTCCAAAATGGAGTGTTTCATGTCTGTATGTACATAATTCCTATAACTCAAAAACGACTAGCAGTAGAACACTGAAATTTGATATATGGGACTTCTGTAACATCTAGTGTGCACCTTCCTTTTTTCACTGTAATCAGCAGTACCAAAAGTACATATGGACCCCCCCCCCACTTACACAGCTTAAGAGTCCTTACTTAAGCTATTTCGTAATTATTGATTGTAGTCATATACTTTTATCTACATAAATGTTTTAAATGACAAAAATATTCATGTTTGGGCAATGTTGAATTAAAAAATAAATAAATAAATAAACTTTGACAAATAACAAAATCTAACTTTCAATGCTATCTCCCAGTTCCCATACTTACATTTGAGAAAGTTTTATACTCATTATGAAAAAAATAAAAACGCAAGACGTTTGGCTCCCATATGACAAAAATTGATTGGGATATTTAATTTCAAAATTCCTAATTTTTTATGTCATTTTCAACTTGATTTGAAGGATCAGTTAATTAAGTTGGAATAATTTGAGAAAATAAGATTAAAAGAAGTGCAGCAAAAAATGTGCATAATTTAATATGCTGTGTTAAGTCATGTGTGGTGTCCAAATTAGATTTTTTTCTTTTATAAGATTTTATTAATTTCCAGAATTTTGTTGCAGCCATCAATTTCACATTAGGATGATATAACAACAAACTGGCACAAATCTCTGTGAGATAATTATTCCAGTCAACCATTGTGTTGATATTCACTTGATGCAAATTTTGGTTCATAAAACTCCATAATCTAGCAAACCATTTTAGTGTTTTGAACACCTTTTTTCTTCCCAGCAAGAAGTCACATTTTAAATTTATGACATGGTTATTTCAACATAATCTTTCCTTGAGAATATCTGTTTCTTAAAGAAACAGTATAACTACTTCTTCATCTCTTAGTAAATGCCAAGTTATGAAACCAGAGGGAGTAAAAAACATATTTAGATGAAAAACATGGTTGCATAAATAACACTTAAGGTAAAGTAGTATAGTCAGATTAGTAGAATGAAGCCATATCAAACTGGTGACATCTGGTGCCAAGAAAATACACCAAATCAAAAACAACATCAATTACCTTTAGAGGAAAAGTGCATATTTTTGTACAGAAAGATCTGCATGACAATGTTGCCTATTGCACACCATTAAATTAAATGTGTTACTCTTATATCTTAGAGTACGGTTCTTGTTTTCAAAGCAAATACTGTCAATAAAATGTTTTAATATTGCTTATTCAATTTTGTTCATTTATTGAAGTAATTAACCTATGAAATATGTTCCGGTACTTACATATTATCCCATCAACTGCCATTCTCAAGCAGAGCAATCTTGCACCAATAATGGATAAGCATGACATAACAACACAATCATAACATCTGCATTTTCATTTGATGTAACACAATCTGATTCTGTATAAGCCATGTTTTGTTTATGAGCAAGGATATGAATTAATTGTTATAGCTGCATGTTTTTCCTGCATTTTGAATAATATAATTAAAATTTGGGACAAGCCTTCTACAGAACAGTAACCAGTGGATTGTTTTTCAAAGTTATGGCATCCTAAATGGCCATGCAACATGAAAAATTATGACAAGAGAATATCCAGTTGAAAATGAACATAATTCCAGCATTGTAGAATCACACTTGTAACTATACTTCAGCTTATTTACAGCTGACTGAGAAAATTAGTATGTGTTGAATGGAGAAAAGAACAGCTGTATATGGCTGACAAAAGTCAACTGGAACAATAAATAATCTGAGAAAGTTTGTACTCATAGCATTCTAAGCAGGGCTTTCAATAAAACTTAAGGGCATAACAAAATAGCAAGTAAATAAAAAGTGATGTGTGATTATTGATTAAATAAATAGGAATCAGTTTCTTCAGAATTCTTCAAAAGTGACTGGTGTAACTTTGGCAGGACCTTGGGTAACTCATGGTTTGATGGAAGCCAACTTCCACAGCCAAAGAGATAAAACGCAAGTACTGGCATTTCCTATTGTTAGAAAAATTTACCATAGTTAAAATAAGCTGATAATAAAAGTGTTTTTTGCTAGAAGTTTGCTGCAGAGGAAACTGCATGGTGAAAGTAATCTTGGAACACAAAAGATCCTGAATTTCTTTCTGATTTGGTAAGCTTTCAGATTTATAAGGAATTCACAGCTGTAAGCTGAATTCAAATTGTCCTTATCTTAAGCCCCATTCACAAGAGCAGATTCGACTGGTAGCGAAAACTAGTTCTTCCAAAGTGTCCCATTCACATGGCGACAAGCATTAACTGCCTCTCCGAATTGGAGGTAGAACATTCCCACCTCTCGGGAGCAGGGCAAATGGGGAGATTTCCCATACTGCACTGCGCGATTGCGTGGTTCATTTAATTTTAACAAACAACATGGCTAATGTGCAACTGACAGCTCGCTGGACTGGGAGCGAAACAATCACATTGGTAGATATATGAGGATGCAATATCATCCAAAAAATTATATAGAACTGTACGAAATATGGAAATTTGTATGGACAAAGTTATCTGATGCTGGGTATTCCAGAAATACTGTTCAAACTAAAACTAAAGATGTGCAAATCGGCTTCAACTTGATAAGGGATGCGGTTCCTTTTGAATGATTTTTTTATTTAAGAACTTTCATCTACTTTTATGATTGTTATTAAATGGTTTTGTAAGACAAAATAATTTTAAGCTGAGAAAAAAAAAATTGCCAGTATTTTTTTTTTTTTAAATTTAAAGTTTTGGAAGAAAAGTTTACAATTAAAATGTCATTTATCTCCTACAATTTTCAATGATTTTCCCCCATATTTTCTTATTGTATTTATTAGAAAGTTCTTAATAACTTAAAGGATCGATTTTGCAATAAATTAATTAGTTTCTGTGCAAAAATAAAAACACATTTTTATGCAAAAACTTTGAAACAAATATGATTTCAATCACATGTCCACTTCAAATAATTTTTGTCAGTATTTTGCGAAACTCATTATTGTTTCTCTAAAGTATATAATATTAATTAAATGGTAAAAGTATTTAATAATTTAGGCCATATCTATATAAGGGTTCCAGGAAAAAAGCCCACAGGAAAAAAGTGCACAGGAATAATGCTCACAGGAAAAAAACCAACACAGAAATATGCGCACATAGAAAAAAGCTCACATGGAAAAATGCTCACACATAAAAAAGCACACACAGAAGTATGCTCACATGGAAATAAGCCCACTGATAAGTAATTCTTATAGAAATGTCCTTACATTAATGAATCAATAATTAATCGATTTGAACATCATTCACCTACTTGAATTTTCTAAAGAAAAATTATTTAAATTACCAAAACATCTATGGTATATATTTAAAAAACTTTATAACTTATGTGCAGATTCAGTTGTTACACAAGATTAACAAATTGGCCATTTTGAATTAAGAAAAGGAGAGGAGAAAGGAAGTAAACATGAAACAGAATTATACAGTGAAAAATTATTACAACTTTAATTGTTAAAAAAATAAAATAATAATAAATATAAGTTACACATTTTATAATATAAACATTTAGAAGAATAATGAATAATGAATGAGAATTTAGAATGATTATTTTATTTAAATTACATAAAATATTTAATTTTATCATCGATTTCATCATATTTTCTTGCATGATTCACGATTACCAAATGTAAGTTTTCATGTTTTCTTTTTTTTACTTCAGTACATCCTGTATTTACATTAGCTAATAAAAAACGTTGAGAGGCTAAATCTTTTTTCAGCCTGTCAAATAAAAACCACATACTGGGATGGCTACAATTAAATAATGAATTTAGTACATTATGAGAGCCTTCATAACAATTTGTAGTTTTAGGAGATTTTCTGAAGGCTGCTTCGCAATGTTCAACTGAGAGGTATCATCCAAGTGCCTAAAAATGTTAATTTTATTTCTAAAATTTTTAATTTCTGTAAGTTTTGACTCCAAACTTGAATAACTACATTCAAACATCAATTTCTATCGATACACATCAAAAGCATACAAAAATAGAGTAAAGAAACAAAAATTAATTATTGGCAGTTACAGGAAAAAATGTCATACAGGGGCAGTGGTATAAAATATTACAGTACATGCAAAATTTTACTCCAGTTTTCATGCTTTTATTTACCGCCGCTGAAAAGGTTAATGTGAGCATTTGTCAATGTGAACATATTTCATGTGAGCTTTTTTTCATATGAGCATATTTCTAAGTGAGCATTTTCCCATGTGAGCTTTTTTCTATGAGGGCATATTTCCTTGTGGGCTTTTTTCCTGTGAGCTTTTATACCTGTGAGCATTATTCTGTGAGCATTTTTCCTGTGGGCTTTTTACATGTAGGCATTTCTCGAGTCACCCTATATAAGTTCTAGGACTTTAAATAAAGGGATTTATCGAAAAAAATGCAAACTGAGAAAACGCAGTTTAAAGAAACTGCCTATACGATCATTAAATCAATTCAAATTTCTTAAAAATTTTATTACTGAATTTCATTAGATATATATATATAAAATAAAACCTAGTGCTAATCAATTGGTTGATATAAACATAAATTACAAGCTTTTATTTAAAATCTTCGTGAAACATGTTCAGAACATTTTAACATATAATTATTTTAATATATTTTATAAAATGTTTATAATCAATATTCAAACATTTATAATTACTTATAATTAATATTAATGTTATTAATTTGTCATTTTATTCTTTTTTTCGAAAAGCAAAGTTTGAAATTTTAGCAGCCACAAAACATTTTATTTAAAACCGCTCAGCAGCATATATGGTTTCTTTTCTTCTTTTAATCATTTGGTCTCTTATATAAATTGCATTTTTAATTAGTTTAAATGTATTTTAATTAATTGAGGAATTAAACTCCGATAGCATTTTATAGCAATAGTAAACAATGTCAAAAAAGATTAAGTAAACGTTAGAAATCCGCCAATCTGATTTGCGTTTGTGACATCATTCATTGCTCGCAGTGGCTTATGGGTTAAGGGATGGAAGATGATGTGCATCTGAACTGATCCTGAAGGCGAAAGCCCTTCATATCCTCGTTTCTCCCAATACGAACTGTGGCTGTGTGAAAGAGCGTTGCATGTGAACGGGGCTTTATTGTCTTCATAATTTTTTTTAAAAACCAGAATTTCTTTTAATTCAGTATATAGTAAAGAAAGTAATTAACATTTCTGCTAACTTTTAAATTTGAATAACAACCTGAATAAAAATAGATTAAAATTTTTACATACCATATTTGCCAGCATATAAGACACACTTCTTTTCTTTAAAAATAGATTTGAAAAATGGGGTGCGTCTTGTATGTCGCTTGTGAATGGGTCAAATTTTGTTGCATCCATCAAGCTTTATGTAATGTTGTGACAACTGAGACAGTGGTTAAATCATTTAGGAAGTGTGACATTAGCAATGCACTGGATTGTACAGAACAGGGACAATTTATTGTATGAGGGCTCAGATGCTGATTTAGAAGAGATTGTGAGTGACTCTTCATTTAGCTCTGGAGATGAATGTCTGGGTTTTGACTAAGGAGATTAAAAGGTGTACTTTCCAAATAGATTAGATATTTGCAGAAAGTATTACTTTATATTTAAAATACTGTAAAGTCATTATAATGATCAGTACTAAAGTTTCATCCTTCAAAAATGTGTGCAAAAAGGGGGTCTTATACGCCAGCAAATACAGTAATTATTTTATGCAAAAGTATACTATTTAAAAAAAAATAAAAAATATATAAAACATACAATTATAAATTGTTACCTAGTATTATCTTCTAAACTGATACAATTTTCTCTTCCTCTAGATGAAATTTTGTTTTCCCATATCCTCTGAACTCGAGCAGTCAATGTTACGTAGTTCCATCGTGAAAAAAACAACATTTGCTCATCCAAGCTAGGAATTTTTTTCTGAGTAGCAGACACACGGCTGTGCTGTAAAGTCTTTAAAATGTCAGGTATTTCATGTTCATCTATAAGATGAAAATGCTTATAACTGAATATTTAAAAATTTTTCAGATATTATAGAAGAAAATAGAATAACATTATAATTCAAGAAAATAATACTAAGTAATGCATTTATAAGCAAGCTAAAAAAAAAGAAATTATAAGAAAGAAATATTCATATTTAATGCTTCCTGTGAAAAAAATAATAAATAAATAACAATAATAAGCTTCTTGAGAAACAAAATTAAATACAAGAATAAACTTTCTATAAAGCATTTCAATTAATATAACATCGGAACTATACATTTTGTATTTAAAGAATAATATTTAAACATACTTTAAAAAATGAGAGAAAAGTATTCTTTATCGTAAATTCTGAAAGACGCAATAATAAAAACATTTTAAACATAAACCAATATACTTACTATACTGAGGGCACGCAAAATCTTTCACAGGCTGAAATTTTTCTGACTCAATAAAATAAGTATTCAGGATGACTGGAAATGGCACAGAAGTTAGGGAGATGATATGCCTGAAAGAAACGCAATTATCAGTAACTAAATATAATGAGCTTTACAGCAAATATTAACTACTTTATAAAGTGAGACTTCATTCGCTACAATAAATATAAGTTGGAAACACACCACAAAATAAAACAGAAACTATAAAAAATATCCTACAGAGTATACAATGTTCAATTTTCTGAAATTAATTTTTTAAAATATTTTAAGACTATAAATTGTAGTCTTAAAAATTTCTAAAGGTCTAAATGATACATTTAAATTATTGTTGTTTATAGAATAAATTTGCACTTCTGTTGCCGACAGATGGCAACATATTTGAATTAAAAATCTAGAAAAAATTTTAACTTTAGGAAACTACTATTTGTTAACAAAATCAGTACATACATTTATTTTACTTATCAATATGAATTGCTCTTTTTTTTTACTAATAAGCCACAAATCTGAGTCAGAAAAGTAATATAAAGAATACATAAGCTGGTCTGGTTTATTTGATTACAGCAAAGCATGTGAGAGCAATTTGCCTAAAGGAAGATACGCTTTCGTAGAGAATTTTCTAAGGGAAATTAGCTCAGCTCCTCATTACACATGGGAAAAACCTGGAAAACGGCCATGTAGTTAGCTCGTTCACTTGGAATCGAACTCCCGGTGTTCAGTGACTTTACCGCTCAGCCACTGTTGCATTTAAGTAATGCAGGAGGACTACTTAAAACTATCATTTTTCTATTAACATTTATAAAATTACTAATTCAGAAGTATTCAGAAGAATTTTGAAAATATAACGCTGATTTTTGTTGTTTAACAAAAATCAGCGTTATATTTTCAAAATTTTCACAGGACTAGTTTCGATGGTTTTACGGAACCACCATCCTTAGCTGCAAAACTGCAAATGAACAAAATAGGAAATTATGATTAGATAAGATAAGAAAGCCTGGACAAGAATAAGCAAGTGGTGCCATCTGTTGATGAAATCAGAATCAATATACAGTCAAAAGTCGTTAATTCGGACACCCATAATCCGGAATGATCTATAATTCGGACCTCAAAGCTAAAAACTGTCTGCGCATGCGCCGCGTTGACACATGTGCACAGGCGTTTTACGCGTGCGCGTAAGACCTTTACGACTGCGCATATGCGTCTGCACAAGCGCAGAATATGTTTTCACCTGCTCGTTTAATGTATAACGGATGGTAAAAGCTAAAATTATCTATTTCCATTAATGTTGATGATTGCGTTCTTCCTTAATCTTCGAATTGGATCAGGCTTATTATTTTTTGCAAACTGTAAGAGCAATTTTATAAAAGTAAACTTGAACTTTCGATTATGTCAAATAGAATTTCCGATGCTGGAGCTCCCAAAGGATCTACAAAATGAAAGTATGTTTCTATGTCCATCAAACAAAAATATCGGTATTCTCGGCACAGCAATTGCGGGACTTGAACAGTGGAACTTTGTAACTGAACAAGAAATTATGTCTGTTTATAGAATTAAAGAGAAAGCATTATCACATAAAATGAAGCAACTTAAACAACTTACGTTGAAAGAAATGTTTAATAAAGTAAACAAATAAATATTAAGCTTTTTTTTTGTAATTTTTTGATACCCTTTAGATCATAATTGTTCTTTATTTCATAAATTACAGTTTCATATTTTTAATTTTAGAATTTCTGCATGGCATCTTACGAGATTTAAACTGATGATCTATAATCCGGAAAAATCGATAATCCGGAATCGCCGAAGTCCCGACGAGTCTGGATTAACGACTTTTGACTGTATATTAAGTGATAGAAAATTTCATGGCTGAATTAAAGCAGTCATGTCACTCAAAAAGTTAACTTTCCATTATTATCCTACATAAAAAGAGTAAAACAGTAAGTGAACATATATCAAACAAAGATTTAAAAAAAAAAAAAGAAAAATAACAAAAATTCGGAGAATTAAAAGTACAATAACTGTAATTATGTTTAGGTCTATCTGTAAAAATGTTTTGCAACAAATAAATTTTTTATAATAAAAAATATTATAAAGAAAAACAAAAATAAATAAATATTGGAAAATAAAAATCAGCACAACTAGCATTATTTTTTCTACATAGATAACACACATTTTTTAACAAAAAGCAGATAAAATGATTTTTAAAGCTTTTGAAAATATTTCTCACGTAATTTACTAAAAAAAACTATTTAAAGTAATCTTACCAAGGTTCAAATAGGTGAAAGGTTTCTCTTACTTTCAACTGCTGTTTACAAAATAAATTTCTTCTGAAAAGAACACAGAATATCTTTGGATACAATGATCGTTCATTTCCATTGAAAGAGCTATCTACATTGTTAACAGGGGCAGAAATGATGGTGTTCGAATGCTCAATTTCAGAGTCTTCACAATTTAAATCAAATTTATTTCTAGCATTGTTGTAGAAAGATGCATGTGAATTCAATAATATGCATTTTGTTATAACAAGATCTCCAAAATATGAAACTGCAGTAATCTTTAAATTCAAACTATTGCAGATATCTAAAAAGAATCAGAAAATAAAAATACAATTTACAAAATTATAACAGCAGCTGCTACTTACATCATAATGAAAATTATTAAATTATTTCCATTTCATATGGCTAGATAGATGATGATATATTTTATGCACTAATAATGCAGTTTACAGGATAACAACAAAACAAAAAAATGGATGGGATGATTTTTGACATTGTCTATCATTTTAATTTTTAAACTATTTTTGCCCCCACCCTGCACAACCTTTTGTAGTACCAAAATAGTGCAAAGCAAAGAAGCAGTCAGCATTAATTTAAGCAGATATAAGCTTCTGAATATTCCCAGATCCTTTCTCAGTTTAAACAGTGGAGGAAAAAATCTAATCCTACTAAACATGTCTTCAAATCTAAATAGATATATACAGGGTGCCTCACAAAAATGTATACACACTTTGAACTGTTGTATAAAATTTATTATCATTCCTACAAGGTTAAGTTTATAAAAGAAAGTAAAGTTACATTTCCTCAACATATGGCAGCAAAGTAAGCTGTCTAGCTGCGCAACACAGTTAATGCCAAGAGAATAACATTGACATGACGAATGTATGTTTGAACTTGCAAGAACGGAAGCAGGTTATCTAGGTACTAAAAAGTTTGAGAATGTTGTTGTGGTTCAGTGACAGTGCAGATGTTGAGTATAGGAATGATCAACCTTCAAGGTTTAAGGTTCATGGAACACTGTGTGATGTGCAGAAAGGTCAATCAGCGATACCTTACATGGCTACATGTGATGAATCCTCAGTTTTATAGTTGAAACTGTTTAAATGGTCACCACAAAAATCTTCAAGGCAAGGATCACTTGAATGTGGTGTAAGTGCTAGTAGCGAATGATAATTTAACAGAGCGATGGATAGGATGCAGGGAGCCAATCAAGTTTCCTGCACACTCTCCAGACGTTGCACCCCTCAATTTTTCTTATGAAACAAAGTAAACGATGAGGTGTACTGTTGTAAACCATGTTACCTCGACATGTTTTGGGATCAGATTCAAGCGGTGTGTGCAGAAATCCCATTTTGTGTGCGAGGATGGAATCAGTCGTGATTTATTTTCAGAAATTTATAGATGAGGGCTACCGTTTTGAACATATTATTTTAAACACCATTTCAAACATTCTGTTTGATCAGAAAGTACACTTATTTTTCAATTTAGACTATATCCTCACTTTTTCTAAAAATTTAACTTTGTAGGTTGGAAAATAAATTTTCTACGGCAGTTCAAAGTGTGCATACATTTTTCTGATGCACCCTGTATATATGAGAGAGGTTTTTGCTGCATCAAACCTTAAAAATGTTTAAAAGTTATAAGAAGAAGAAAGAAAATCTCTCCACAATAAGATTATGTACTTTAAATATCAAACAAAGTACTAATCAAATACAAAAAAGCCAGTCTTCTTTAAAAATTACTAAATTTTGTAAAATTAAAGAACTAGATAGCAGTTCTCAAAACTTTTAGTCCCAAGCACTCCTTTTATAATTGCTAGACAATAATTTCCCCCTTCTTTCTAAACTTTTAAATCTAAAATTTGATTTCTAAAATACATGAAATTTCTCCAGAGGAAGAATTCCCTCCTGGTGGAAAATCCCTGCCATATAGCACAAAAAGTGATTCTAAAAGGTTTTGTTATCCTCTGTATTATGATACAAATCATGAAAATTCTGTTATACCACATTTAAATTCAGTTATTATTATAGTGAAGACAAATTTTACCAGGTACAGGATTCAAATACAATCTGATAATATGAGAGGAAGTCAATAAGTAAATCACAATAGACAACTACAAAATAACCTAATGAGATTTTCACCTGAAAAAAACTACTTTTATTTCTCACCATAATCTTCATAATTATTGATATACTTGTCCAATCATTTTATCAGTGCTGTAATAGCAACTGAATAAAATGTTTTGTGTTTCTGTCTCAGAGACATTAAAACTTCATCTTGAACATCATTATCACCTGCTTCAAATGCTTTCTCAACTCACCTGTGCTCGAAAACAATAAATAGAAAATAATTCTTTATGAATATCCTTCATGCTTCCTTTCGCTCCTCCCCTTCCCTGAAACAGATAACAGCATGCTGTTCTTTTCCTGCACAGTCACCGAGTTCTATCAACATTTTCAAACTGAACTACATATATGCAACTGCTACATAGTAACTAACAGAATGAATATCACGGACTAGGATGGCTCCACTATGTATGGCCCCGTTAGATACAGTTCAACATCACTGAAATGAACCTGGCTTATAATGAATGCCCAGATATATGAACGAGCCTTTCGGTCCTATCCAATTTCTGATGCACTTAAATTTTATTTTATACTGCTACAATAAACTTCCAAAAGTATGAAAACTGAATATATCAAACTATTTATTTATTTTGGAAATTTTGCAACATTTAATGAAAAAATTACAAACTGTTAAAATTGTTCACATTAATAAGGTTAAAATCCACATTCCATTCATAAAGGTAACACTTTTATATTAATTTTCTTTTAACTTCATATCCACTTTAATTTTTGTTCAAAATCAATGATTTACAAGACAGGCATGAACTCAGTTCTGGAACACAAACATATATTAGGATATGTATATGATATACGTGCCACTAAATCAAATAACGTCAATGAATTCTTTGAGTCCATCCAAATTCTTTGAATGAGCTGTCAGACACAACTTTGTTCAAGGCTGATGACTGTCAAAAGTCTGAATCATAGTTCTTGTGTGCCAATATGAATGCATTATAAGCTTTAAGTAATTCAAAAATCTTAAGACTCAAGATGTTTAAATGTGAACACTCATTCCATTTTCTCAAAGTTAATTGTAAAGCATGGATGATGTCAAAAGCTGCTTGGAGAAGAGTTGTGAAAGTGGTATGATGAATGCTTGGCCAAAAAACAAAAGATTTTCTCTCAACTGGCAACTCTACTGCATACAAAGACAGTAGAAAGAAACTTAGAATGGAATTAGACTGTTTCCTTGCCCTGAATGCAACTTTGATGCTGCCATCTATACACCACGATGTGATTAGAACCTGAAGTGTCATTACAAGAAACAGACTGCTTTAAGCATTTTGGAAAAGTAAGACAATCGTGTCGAATATGATATTCCTTTTGATGGAATATTAATAATAGAAAAGTCTTGCTGACTTGTTGCAGAATCAGCTATCCAAAACTGTTTGTGATATGATATGCTGGTCAGTAAAAGGTGCTGAAGAGGAAGATGAAAATGAGGATTTACTTATCACTAAGGAAAAAAAAAAAAAAAAAAAAAAAAAAAAAAAAAAAAGGGGCTTTTCAATAGTTTCACAATGTGATACAGAGTTTTTCAATCATGCAATAATAATGTTGTTACTTGTAAAGATTCAAGAGCTGAAGATATTGTGACAGGAATTAAAATGAAAAATGCTAACAGTGAAGCATCTTGTTCTGATGATGAGAATGTTTAGAAAATGTAACACACAGAAAATATATTCCCAACCATAGCAGATACCAAGACTGCAATGCATATAATAAATTATTTAATATCATTATTTTATTCACACAAACAGTAAAATTGGAAGTGATGGAATCTTTTCAACTTTTGGACAAAAATATGAATATTTCTTTTCTGCAATCTGCATTGCAGCAACAGAAAATAACAGATTATTTTTGCATTCAAAAGTTAGGTAAAATTTAAGGGCAAATTCATTTTCAGTTTTTTTACATTTTTATGGATAAAACAGTGGATTTTGTGGATAAAACATTTATACTTATAAATGTGTAATTCAAGAGAAGGAAGTGATATTTATACTAAGTAATTTATTATGTAAAATTATTATAATGAACCCGGATAAGAATGTCCAATAAATTTGATTGCTGCATATAAAATAATAATTGTAATTTATCTTAATATGACTTTTCAAAAATTAGATATTGTAATTAAATCTTAATATGATTTTTTAATTAGACTTATTATTCACTTATTTGGGTAAATATGACAATGCTAATAACATTTTTTGGTGTGTGTGTGTGTGTGTGTATGTTTCATCATTTGATTTTTAATAATTTTGTAAAAACCTTTTTTTTTTTTTTTTTAAATCAGATTGGATACAGTGAACCAAACTTCCAGTCCCTTGAAGTTCATTATAGTGGGGTTTAATTGTAAAGATTAGATAGCTTATACAGATATATACAAAACTATGTAGATAGATTCACTATGTGTAAAACTACAACATAAATTCTTTAATGGTATAAATGAATACACGTATGGCAAACACTGAGTAAGGACTTGGAATAAAACACTAAGTTTCACAAAACATCTATTATATCAGGCTTAAAATAAAAATACAAATCACTTATTATTAGCTAAGAGATAAACTGCATAGCTAAGTGCTATTGGACACTTAGCTACAGACAAACTTATCCCTATGATGGGAAACATACCATGTGAATCACATTTATAAAGTAAATATAAAATTTCACTCTGGAAGCATTGACAAGTGAACAAAATGAAAAGCCCAGAATATTTGAAAAGGTCTCTGACTGGCCTTTCTATCTAGATAGCCATCCAGAAAGGATAGTGATCAGTGATGCAGATTGCCATACCAAAAGGAACAGGTTTGAATCCCAGAGAAAGCATGGATGTTTGCATGTATAGAGTGTCTGTGCAGCAAGGAGGCACTTAAATGAGCCTAAAGCTCTTTCGAGAGATTGGTTTAAGAGGAAGATGGGTGGGAAAACCTCAGACCACCCCTGGAATATTCTCCCTCACATTTAGTACAGTAGGAATATACCTATACAAAAAATAGTGAAATTACGGTGTCTCACCACTTCTGCCTGTACCTGTCTGTATAGATATCAGCCTAAACATATATTTTCCAGCCTATTATGATCACAAAGTAGTATGAAAATGTCAAAGAAGGACAAACCAAATCATTAATCTAGTTTTCCCAAAACTAATGTAGTGGAATTGTTGAAATCAGAAATGCATTGTCAAATACAATCATCAGAAGAATGTAACCAAGATCAGTGAAAAAAATTTAAGGAGTAAAAAGGCACAGTATATAATCTGGGGCTCCAGATTACTGTTTGAATTTGGCAGATGCTCAGACTCCAATATAATACACTTGATCACAAATTATAATTTTGTAACTTAAGGTAGTGCTTAATTTCTAAATTTAGAAATGTTATGTCCTTATGAAATATCACCAGGTAAGGAGGTTAAAAAAAAAAAAAAAAAGATAATAAATAATTTATAATTAAACAAAATATAAAGTGACAAATAAAAAATAAATAAATTAAATATATTGCAAACAGCTAAGTTTTATAAATTAAAGTAACAGAGCTCATCTTATTTGGGACTTCAGATGGTGTAATGATTTTACTCGAAAAATGGCAAATGCTGAAGCCCTTCAGGCCTGGTCTTCCCTTCAGGCCAGGCCTAAATTTAAGGCCTGGTTTGAAGATATGCAGGTAGAAAAGCACTGTTGATTTTTTAAATTGAAAAGGAATGCTTAAAAATATTAAAAATACCTTTTTTCCTTTTATGAAATTTATGATTCCAAATAACTTTATCTGACAGCTCTAGCCTCTGTAGTTTCAACAACTGTTCCGCAAAACCTCCCCTATGAAAATAAGTTAATGCATTTTCATAGTGTTAATTTTATTTGATTAAATATTTTGAATGTGTTTTGTAATATTTGCTTAGTTATTATTTATTCTAATTTCTTATTTAATTATTAATAAGGAATAAAAACAATACTTGCAATATTTTATACATACAAATATAAATAAAGAATATGAAAAGAATAAATTAGCAGCGTAAATTAATTCTCCTTTTCTATTCTAAAAATAGCAATTTCTCTGCACTGCATCATTTCGAGATTAATCCATGTCATATGACTCTTACATAATTCTGGTGATGTAAATAGAACTAAAACAGCCAATAGTAATTTTAGAGTAGTATTAATTATCCAATTAAAATGCATTGAGAATCAAAACTAAGTCACAATTGAGATTTCACCCTGAACATAACACACTTGCATTGTACACTTTGGCCTAGCTGGACTGCAGTCTGTCTGCTCCTTCTTTCTTACTGTAAATTTATCAAAAATGCTAACTTCTGGAATAGGCATAAATAATGTGCCAACTTTTTTGTGGTCACAACACATGTTTACTGAAATAAAACTGAAATTAAATATACCTTGACTTCCAAATTTCTTATTCATTGTGGATTCGAGTTTCAACATCTCTAAGCCATAAAATTTCTTGCTGTCCATTACAGATTCAGCCACCTGTGTTCTACTACAGAAACTATTACCACACACACACATACATATATATATAACACATGATTTAATTTCAATCACTTAAAATAACACATATGACAATGGCAGAAAAAATTCTATCTTACATTCCACTATTGGCTCAAATAACTCTGATTTGTTGTAAAACAACTTAACATTTATCAAAGTGGATTAATGAAATAACAATAATAAATTTTTAAAGTACAAAGAATTACAAAATTAGATTACATACAAAATTTCAGAGTGACTAAATCAATTGAAACATTAATTTTCTATATGCAACTATTAAAAGAAGAAAAATTTGCGAGTGAGAAACTAACTATTTAGCACTTCTGTGTGATGATTCTATTCCCTCCATACAAATAAAGCTTGTGCAGTTAAAATGCAATTGTATCGTAACTCTCTAAAATTTACAAAAACATTGTCTAATGCGCTATACATTATGCAGCTTATTGATAGGATGGTCATCATCCTAGACCTGTAACCTAGGTCACTAGTGCAGGCACTGCAGTAAATTTACAGTTTTAAATTAAAAAGAAAACAAAGTGAACCAGTGCCTGTCAAAACTGTTGGTGATCAGAGACCTAAAAGTTGTCAAACATTAGAAATCAATCAACAAATCATCAATCTCAGATAGTGGAATAAATTAAAAAATTTTTAATTAAATTAAATTGAAGGGCCCCTTGCCTATCAAAGCAACTAGTCACTGGTGACTTCCATATAAATCCCCAGTATTAAGTATATTGTTATCATAAAAAAAAAAAAAAAAAAAAAAAAAAAAGATTGGTCACTTCAACTTTACTTAACTTTCATTATAATAAAATAAAAAATAAATAAAAATCTTTTGTCCACTTTAAGGGATTAGCCTGTCATACCTTTAAGAATGACAAGTTCTGGAAGTTTTCCTACACTACAGAAGAAGAGGGAATGATTTGAAATAAGCTATTTATATGAAGAATAATATACATGCATGCATGAACAACATAAACAGATTTAAACTTACTGCACGAGATTCTTTAAAATTTTCTTTCCAGCTTGATCACTGCAATCAGTACTTTCATTTTTCTCACATGCCTCTGTCCATTTCAAGGAATGTACCCAATTGCTGCCTTTGCCAGAAGTTTTACTTTCCAAAATTGTTGTGGCTTTGAATTCAGAACCATTCTAAAATCATGATTTTAAACTGCTTATTCAATAATTTAAGAATTCAGCAAAATACATTTATGTGTTGGAAACACCAATTTAAAGGAAAATATAGTTGCATGTCAACTGTAAAGTAAGTGGCAAAACTTGAATATAATGATAAAAATATCAGTTTGGCAACTTTCTAAATTTTCTTTTAAAACCGGCTATGTTTTTATAAGTTTCCAGTGAACTAGTTGGTATTTTTCAATAGAATCATTATTGCATTATCCAATTTTTCAGCTATTCCCTTATAAGCTACTGAGCTCAAATTTTGCAAACACATTCATTGCAGATGGCAATACAATAAATGCTATAAAGATCTGAAATTTTCAAAGGTTATAAAACAAATTCTTTACATTCTTTATAAAAGCCACTGAGATAGTACAGTGGTTAGGGAAGCTGATTGCAATACTGAGGGGCCCGGGTTCAAATCCTGGAGAAAGCATGGATGTAAATTGTCTGTCCTCTCACAGGATGTAACGGTGACTGCCTTTTAGGTGCCTTTCACAATAAAATGGCCACCACTGCTGACCTTAGGAGTGGCCAATGCTGAAAAAAGGCAAGTGATCACCATTCGATAAAACAAAAAGAAAAATTCTTTGAAAATAAGAATGATAAAATGCCTTTCAGAATTGTCTTGAGCATGGAATACTGCTTTCTGCACATATACAAAAAAACAAACAAACAAACAAACAAACAAAAAAAAAAAAAAAAAAGACTTTGTGAAGTGGTCAGATTTGAAGCAAAAGTCTAAATTTGGATATGAATAATTTGGATTTGGATGAAAAATATGATAAGTTTTTAGACAATTATAAACTGGGTGAATGCACTAAATGACAGATTGTTATTTCATAATTAGAACAGAAATTTTAGAAATACCTCTTGAAAACAGAATGTCATTTACTATTGATATTCAAAAGTCTTAACTTATATATAAATTGTTTCGAATACCCATTTATCCCCTGAGCTACTAAAAGGTTTTTTATTATTTATTATTATTATTTCTTTCTAAGTTTACACTGATGAATTTGGTTTAGTATATCAGTAGGACATACAGTACAAAGTTCAAAGTACAGACATGCTAACTGGATCAATTTATTATTCGAACCTCCTGTGTAACTATGTTTTAATTTTTACTCACACAGTGTAGGAATGGGTAATAGGGTACTCAAGTAAAAGCAAGTGTAATGCAAATTGATTATTTTTCCAATTGCTGGGTTTCTTTTTGCGGGTGGTTGAAATGCAACATTCATTATCTCTGATAACATTGATTTCTGATTATTATTCTGGTTAATATTTATCAAAAATAATATGGATTAGTATAAATATTCTTAATGAAAATCTGAAAGCATCTGTATGAAAATTTGGAATGCAAAATACATTTAAGTTCTATCAGGTTAACAGCTCTAAATGTTCAGTTGCTGTTATTGCATAATTGCCCTGAAGTTAACAAATCTTCATATTTTCAGGACTTAAATCCTACGGAACATATATGGAGTGAGATGAAGAAAAGAATAAGGGAACACGACACGTCTTCGAAAGTTCTACTAAAAGCATGTCTTATGTAGCAGTGAAACAATTGGAACATTCTTATATAAAAAAACTTAATCCATGCCAAAGTGCAATATTAACTAAAGAATAGAAATATTGAATGTCTCATTATTTTGATGTTTTTATTAGACATAAACTGTTTATTCGAATTGTCTGAATACTTATGTGAGTTCACTTCCAGAACTTTTTGAATAAATTACTTGTTTACCAAAAATTCTTTGAATAACTATTTTCAAAACAAGCTGATTTTAATAGATGATCAATATTATAAGTGAAAGAAAAAGTCATTTTGCTTATATTTAGTAACTAATGTTTGCAAATAAAACTGAAAAAAACAATTGTCCGAAAACAAATGCAAGCTACTGTATATGCACACATTGAAAGATCAAATCAGTATATATTACAGAATAATTTTTGCCTAAAGAAAAATGGACATAGTTAGATTTATTTAAATGTCCTGACATTTTTCAGCTGAAATTATGTGAGAGTTTGAATTCGATTAGTTACTGTAATTATTAATAAGCATCAGTTCTTTATTTAATTTGTAATGTGAATCAGTCATTATACACTACATATTGTAATCACTTATTATAATTCCATGGAATATTACATAATTAAAATTACATGGAATATGACATATAATTCAATAAATAATTAACTTTGAAGAGAACTATTAAAAAATTGAGATCATACTTACATGAAGTTGTTTATTGGTACAATCACCCTCTTTGCATTTTTTAACATTTTCAGTATTTAAAATATGAAACTGTTCTTTATAATCAGTATTTTTGTGCTTATCAAGATTTTCAACATTTAAATTATCACATATTTCTTTTATAACACTTTTCAATTCAGGCATAACAGGTAAATTATTTGCTGATTTCAAAGGAATACTAATATCAGATCCCTGTTTTTTTAAGGGTAAAGCTGAGGAATCAACAAGCTTTTGATTATTCCCAAAACTAAAATTTAAATAATCAGTTGAAAATACTGTTGAAAAATCACTAAATTTACCAGGATGAGAAAATATCATTTTATACTCATTTCTTTGCTCAAGATTCGAAACACTTGATAAAGTCAAATTCTCTGATGAAAATGGCTTGAAAGAAATAAGAGATCTATCATTCAAAAATGTTTCTTGAATATCTTTCACTTTTAAAAGTACAGAAGCATTCTGTTTTGTCCTATGATATGAATCTAAAGGATGATTACTCTGTGTCTGTGATAAGTCATTTTCGATTTGAAATGAATTGTCATCACAGATAGAGGATATTCTTTTTCTATGAGCAGTAAATTCAGACTGAATGTTTTCAATATTTAGAAGCACTGATTTTTGTTTCAAATATTTCCATCTCCTTTCTGAGAGGTAATTTTCTCTAGACTGATCTTCACACTCAGGATTCTCTTGAATTTCATTAGCTGAAAAATAAATATGTAAAAATATAAATCATTAAATATGAAATTAAAAAATATTTAGTCTTAACTTTGAGAGAAACTAACAGTTAACAATTTGGAACTTTTTAAAGCCTTTAGTTGGCACAGTCACTTCCCACAAGCATCCCCCCCCCAATGACGGGCACAAGTCATCATAGACATTGGTCACTACTAAGGCTCAAAGTGGTCAGGTCACTTATGGATGCACCTAGTAGCTGAGCTACTATTACCCCCTATGAAGGGACAGACAATTTACATACATGCCTTCAATGGGATTCAAACTCAGGTTCTTTGGTACGGCAGTCAGAGTCGCTAACCACTTTCCCATCTGGGCAGCTACTTCTGTCAAGCAATTCAGATACTTTGCAATATTGACTAAGGGATTAAATTCGGATATTGAACATAAAACTGATATACTGACTGCCTAAAGAGTTAAATCAATACATTTAAATGGCAGTTATAAATGTGTATGGGTTTATATTCAGAAACTGACTTAAGATTCCATAAATGACAAGTTTTAACTTTGGACTTGTAAGGAAGTGAAAAACAGGAAAACAAGCTGACACACAGACACAATTTTAAAATTATTTTCAACTCTGTACAGCAGGAGAGCAAAAATAAATTAAAAAATGAAAGAATGACTAATGAGTATAAATAATAAATAAACTTTGAGATGTGCCAAAATACAGTTTAATATTCCCAGCATAAGAAACATGATGTAGAGTCGTTAGGATTTTTGAAGCAAGAAACATGAAAAATGAGCAATGCTCTCGTTGGGACTTGAACCTGAACCTCTCGAATACATAACGAGTTTGCTACCATTACACTATGAAGGCATGCAGAAAGGAGAAAGAAAATACCTTATATATTCCCTATTTTAAGGGGGACTGGGATTTAGCAGGATTATCGATAATAGGCAATACAACCATCTTCAAATGTCCAGCAGTTCTAATAACAATTATTTGTAGTTTGCTCATGATGTGTAGCAGCTCCCTCTTATGTCTAATATTATCTTTGTTATTGCAAAGTTTAGTTTCTCTAGATTGGCAACAAAAAACTGAAAATAAAAAAAATTGTTGTAACCCTAACATCTTTTTTATTATTCTGAATTAAAATATGCTTCATCCATTCTGGAATTATCATTTAAGTTATTAAATTATACCATGTATTGACTCAGCATAGCATCTACAGTAGATGACAAAAGGTCCAATTAAACCCCCACATTATCGTTCATATAAGTATTAGCAATTTATGATATAAATATTAACAATTTATAATCTCATCACAAAAACAGCTCTGAACATTTCACATGTTAATGTATTTGCTTTCTTTTTTCTCCCTTTCTTTCTTTCTAATCCTAAAAATCTTTTATTTACAGAAAACTGAAAGAGATGGTATAGTTTTCTGCCAAAAAAGATGCCTATGAATATGTGAAAATGGCCATTAAATACAACTAGATATCAATAAAAGTATTTGTAGGAGGAGAAAAGCAAGTAAAGGAAAGAATACAACATATGTTTGTCCACGGATTCAGTAGTTTCAAAACACTGTTTGGAACAGTACAGCAATTTATTTACTATTGGGCAGAGGAACTGACATTAATTAAGTGGTAGGAGAAGCAACTTGATGTAGGTTAAGTGGTAGTAGAAAGGGGGGATTTTTTTTCTGTAAAAACTCAGTGAAATGCACCAGGTGGTTATATTAATCACGAGTGCCTACATATATAGATAATAATTTATTTAATTATAGAAATTAGCTTCTTAACTGTTATAAAGTTAGAAATAACTTACCAGGTGTACAAGCATGAAATGCAGATGGTGTATCAATGCACTTTGTGCTATAATGATTTGACACTGCACCATTTTGATGTGTCGTCAACAAGTGTCAGATGCACATAAGTGATAAATTGGAAAAATATGTGCATGGTGTTGTGCTCAATATGTCGAAATTTATACTGAACAAAGAGCATTCACAGACAGCATTAATTTTTTGTATTCACTTGAAGAAAACTACTGATGAATCCTACTGATTACTTCAAGAAGCTTATGGTGAACATGCTCCTTCGCAACACACATGTGAACGATGGTTTTGGCATTTCAAAAGTGGTGACTTCGATGGTTGCAGACAAAGAATGTGGAAAACTTAAAAAAAAAAAAAAAAGCAAAGATGTGGAATTACAAGCATTGTTGGATGAAGAATGATTCACAAACACAAAAACAACTCGCCGAGCAATTGGGCATTAGTCAACAAGCTGTTTCCAATCATCTACCAGAGATTGGGAGAGATTCAGAAGATCAGTAGATGGCTACCATCTCAGTTGAATGATAGACAAATGGAAAAGCACAAAACACATGTGAGATTTTGCTTGCTCAGTATGAAAGGAAGTCATTTTTCCATCATATAGATACAGGGATGAAAAGTGGATTTATTTTGAGAATCCCAAGGCATAAAAAATCATGATAGACCCAGGCACACCATCCACAATCAATTGCAAGACCGAATTGCTTTGGCAGAAAGACGATGCTCTCTGTTTGGTGGGACCACAGAGACATGGTCTACTATGAGCTGTTAAAACCTGGGAAAATGTTTAATACTAAACATTACTAACAACAAATGACCAATTTGAACCATTCACTTCTTGAAAAAAGGGCAAAATACCGAAAGAGCAAAGCAAAGCCAATTTTCTTTATGACAATGCTCCATCACATATGGCAAAAGCGGTTCGCGACACGTTGGAAGCATTCAGCTGGGAAGTTCTACCCCATGCAACTTACCAGAAGATGTGAAAAAAATGGCTCGGTAAACATATATTTATATACCCCTTGGATATATATATATATATATGCTATATATATATATACCCCTTGGAGATAATTGGAGATTTTTAGCAGTACAAGGACACCAAGTTTGAGCAATTCTTTGACTTGTTATTTTGGCTTTGTGTAGTGGCGATTTTTGGCGCAAAAATCACTACACAAATAAAAAATAACAAGTCAAAGAGTTGCACAAACTTGGTATCCATGTACACATCGACCTACTTTCACTTAAAAAAACATCAGAGAATCGTACAAACTAGGCATTGCGCACTCCCTTGACTTTATACACATCGATCTATATTCGCTTAAGAAGTCAAAGAAGCAGCCAACAAAAAAATATATAAAAGATGTGTAATAAGCATACTTTGAATAAAGCCTTTTTTTATCATTCTTTCAAATTTAACATTTTTTTTTTTAAAACAAAATCCACAATTTCATACTTGTATACCTGGTAGCTGTTATCCAACTAAAATTGTTCAGTGGAAATATCCATTCCATATTGTATGTTCACAATAGTGTGTTCCTGTTGAAGAATAAGGACTTGCACTGAGATTATTTAATTACAGATTTTTTTTTTTTTTTTTTTCCATTTAGTGTGTTTCTTTCTATATATAACAGAAAATTTAAATACCACAATTAAAAAATGCTGTTATTAAAAAAAATAATAGCTTAGCAACAAAACTGAGTCAATGTTTATATAGTGAAGCTGTTGTGAAATTAATGTTACGGTTATACAAGTACAGCGCAACGTCCGAGATCCGGACTCGTCGGGACTTCAGAGATTCTAGATTTGGGATTTTTCCGAATATTAGGTCATCAGTTTAAATCTAATAAAATGGCATGTAGAAATTATAAAATTTAAAAAAAAATTAAATTGTGATTTATGAAATAATGATTATCACTTATATAAGTATTACCAATTTATGATATAAATGTTAAAATTTATAATCTCATAAATGCTTAAAAAATACAAAGAAAAGGGCATCAAAATTTACACACACACACACACACACACACACAAAAAAAAAAAAAAAAAAAAAAGAAAGCTTAATATTTATATGATTACTTTAGTAAACATTTCTTTTAGTGTAAGGTGTTAAAGTTGCTTCATTTTTTGTACTAATACTTTCTCTTTAATTCTACGGACATAATTTTTTGTTCAGTTACATTGCTGAAGTCCTGCAACTGCAGTGTCGAGAATTCCGACTAACTTGTCAGTCGAAATTTTTTCATTTTCAGTAAACTCTCTGTCACTTTCTTCACTTATTATTTAGCAGTATTTTCTGGATCTAGAACAGAACTACAGATTTTGCTGCCCATTAACTAAATCATGATTGAGGAGCATAGTCATCACAATGAAAAACTTCTCTTATATCATCTTCATTTATTACCACTTCTTCACATTTCTTTACAAAATCCTTTAATTCAAAAATTTCACCTTTGGTTTGCGATATCGGAAAACCATTAAATTTCGCGGCTACGATCATAAAATTTAGCTATCGCTCATTATACATATTTGGCTAAGTACCATGAAATTGAAACCTAAAGACAAGTTGCTCCGTTAAATTTTATCTTGCTTCTATCACGCTTTGAGACAATTAAGCCTGAATTGTATTAGTTTAGTTATTATACTTATGTCTTTTCTTGCACATGCTTAAGGCTTATCTGAGTTCTGAATAAATAAATTCCTACATATACTTCAGACTTAATTGAGGGCAGGTGCTAAATATCTTACTGCCTGATCTCAGTGGGTCCTAAATTCTGCTAGCAAGTGCCTCCCTTTGCCTTTCCTAAATTCTGCCGCCCAGCGCGGCCATATGAGCCCTGGGGCTGGTTCTGGGTTTATGTGAATAACAAATCGGTTATTCTTAATTCAAACAGCACTAAATGTTATGTTTTGGCCTATGAGTATCATTAAGAAAATCTATTTTTAGCATATGGAAAGAAATTTTTGTTAAATTTTTCCTCGTCAACATTTTTTGCACCATTTAACTTAAATCTGTAATCATCACTAAGTGTACTGTCAATGTAAAAGGTTACCATACTCTTTATTATTCAATTACCAACATACAAAAATTGTTTAGGCCTTGCTACATGAGTCATTACTGAAGCTGTCATCTGTTGATAAACATGCATTGATGAAAGCAAAATATAATAAGTAATGATTCACCACGTTGGCATCAGGAATATAAAATTTAACAGGTAAAATCAATGATGTATCTACGTAGAATGTTTTGGTTTGAGATGTACACCAAGTAAATACAGATTGAAGACAAATTCTTGATCATACAAATTTACTAAAATGTTTGTTTCTTCAATAACAAGGTATTTTATTTAGTGCCGAAGAGAAATTACGAATTGGGACTCTCCACGTGTTTTATTATATGTGGGGTAAGGAATCAAATGCACATGCATAATACATACAAAAAAAAAAAAAAAAAAAAAAAAATTAAAAAAGTTCTTGGTGGCATTGAGGTCTGGATTATAGATCATTCAGGATACTGGATGGATCTCGAACTTTGTACTGTACAGTCAAAAGTCGTTAATTCGGACACCCATAATCCGGAATGATCTATAATCTGGACCTCAAAGCTAAAAACTTTCTGCG